TAGAACTATAATAAGTTATAAGGAAAAGGTTTATCTATTAAATATTATAAAGATATTAAGGTAATATAGAACTTAAAGTTACTATTAATTAATAGATAATACTTATACTAATTAATAGTAAAGCTAAAATAAATTTTATTACTCTCTAAGCTATTAATAAATTAAAAATATTATAGGGAAGAAAAAAATAACTATATTAGTTATATATAGTAGAAGGAGAAAAATTTAAGTATAAAGGAGGTATTATTTATAATAAAACTATACCTCTTAAGATAAGCTATTTAAATTAAAAAGAAAGAATCTAATTTAATATTACTAACTTAGGAATATATAATATAATACTAAGACTACTCTAATTATAAATAAGTAACTTATAGATAGATTAGAATAAAAGCTAACTTTATTAGGACTATAATAACTTAGTTTTTAAATAGCTTTATTAAAAATAAGCTTTAAATAAGCTAATATAGTAAAGAACTATAAGATAATATATCTACTACTTTAAAATAAAGTAAACTATATTATAATTATTAATAATAATAGATCTTAAATAAAAGAATAATTTATTTCTATCTATCTTAGAAGAATATAGAGTTTATAAGAAACTCTTTATAACTAAATTAGAGATTAAACTACCTAAATATATTAGTTTTAATTATAAAATCCCTCTTAAAGAAGAGAAGGAATTATAATTTAATAAGATCTATAAACTTAACTTAATAGAGATAGAAGCCTTAGATAAATACCTTAAAGAAAACCTTAAAAAAGGTTATATTAGATTTTTAATATTACTAATAGGAAGCTTTATCTTATTTATACCTAAGAAGAATAAAAAACTATAGCTATATATTAATTATTATATACTTAATAAAATAATAATTAAAAATTACTACTTATTACTTTTTATAAATAAAATAAGATAACTTTTATATAGAGCTAATTAGTTTATAGCTTTTAATCTTAAAGGGGCTTATAATTTAATCTAAATAAAATAAAGTAAAAAATAGAAGACTACTTTCTAAATATAAAAAGGATATTTTAAATACCTTATTATACTTTTTAGTCTTATTAATATACCTATAATATTTTAGAATATAATTAATATAATATTATATAAATATATTAATATCTATATAGTTATCTATTTAGATAATATCTTTATCTTTTTATTTATACTTAAGAAGTATAAAGAAGATATTTATTATATTTTATAAACTTTTTAGGAAACTAAACTCTTAGTTAAACCTAAAAAAAGTAAATTTTATATATAGAAAGTAGAATACCTTAGATTTATTATTACCCTTAGAAAGGTTTATATATTAAGAAATAAAGTTAAAGTTATTAAAGAATAGCTAATACTTAATAACTTTAAGGAAGTTTAAGGATTTCTAAGTTTTATTAACTTCTATTATAAATTTATTAAAGACTATAGTAAAATTAATATAGTTCTTATTAGCTTTAACTATAAAGATATACCCTTTATATAGGAAGAACTATAATAAATAATATTTTAGAAAATTAAGGACTTTATTACTAATAAACCTATCTTAATTATCTTAAATTTAATAAAATAGTTTAAAGTAGAACCTAATATATCTAATTATATAATTAGAGTATAACTATCTTAATAAGACTTAAAAGGATAACTATACCTCTATACCTTCTTCTCTTATAAGCTCTATAAACTTAAACTTAACTACTAAATCTATAATAAAAAATTTATAGTAATTATTAAAGTTTTTAAAGAATAGAGACTTAAGCTTTTAAGAACTATTTATAAAGTATTTATATACTTAGATTATAAGAATCTTTTATACTTTATAACTTTAAAAATACTTAATAAATAATAGATTAAATAGTTAGAATTTTTATTTAAATTTAATTTCTAAATTATCTATTAGAAAGGATTAGAAAATAGTAGAGCTAATACTTTTAGTTAATAATTAAACTATAATATCTTAATACCTAAAGAAACCTAAGTAATTCTTAAATAATAAGATAATAGAGACTTAATACTAATAGCTAAACTCTTAATAATAGCTAGATAATTTAGTACTAGCTTACTTAGTAAATTAGATAATAAAGTAATTATAGAATTTTATATATACTTTATATATAGTTACTAAGGAATTATAAAAACTTAGAAATAACTATAATAATAATATAGAGAAAAGGTTATAAGAGAATATATAGTAAAAGTAATTAAAGATTATAAGGTATACTAAAAAAGTAAACCTACTTAATATTAACCTTATAATATACTATAACCTTTACTTATACTATAAACTACTTAGTAATTTATATCCCTTAACTTTATTATTAAATTACTAAAGTCTTAAGAACCCTTTATAGGAGTATATTTTAATAGTATTTTTATTATTATAAACTAACTTATAAAATATACCTACTTTATCCTATATAAAGAAGTAAGTAATACTAAAGAATATATATATACCTTCCTTAAGTATATTATTACTAACTATAGAATACCTAAGGAAATTATATTAGACTAAGATAAGATCTTTACTTCTAAGTTTTAGAAGTTAATTATATTATAACTTAATATTAAATAATTAATATCTACTATATTCTACCTATAGACTGATAGATAAATAGAATATATTAACTAAATCTTTAAAATATACCTCTACGCCTATATTAATTATAATTAAAATAATTAGGTTATATTACTACTAATTATTTAGTTTACTTATAATAGTATAATTAGAGAAAGTACTAAGGAATCCCCTTTCTACTTTAATTATAGTTTTAAACTAACTACTTATAGAGAACCTTAAGTAGGCCTAGCTATAGTTAAAGCTATTACCTTAATATAATAAATTAAAGATATTTAAGATAATATATATAAAGAATTTAAATTTATTTAATAGTAAATATTAAAATTTAGTAATAAATAAAGGATTAAAAGACTAACTTTAAAAGAGAGAGATAATACCTACTTTATATAGTAAAATATTAAAATAAAATAACTAAGTAATAAACTTAATTATAAAAAACTTAGACTTTTTAAAATCTTATAAGTTATTTTATTAATTAATTATAAACTTAAATTCTTAGAAATTATAAAATACTACTTAGTATTTTATATTTCACTTCTTAAATTAGTACTATAAAGATTATAAATAAATAACCTTATTATTATAGAAGATAATAAACTAGAGTATAAAGTAGAGAAATTATTAGACTATTAGTATAAAGATAATAAATAGGAATACCTTATTAAATAGAAAAACTATAGATATAAAGATAATATATAGAAACCTAATAATAACCTACTTAACTATTAAGATAAGATTAATAAATATATTAGAATACTTAATTATATTAATCCTAAAGATAGACTAAGTTTATTTATAACTTTAGAAGAATTTAAGGAATATATAAAATATATTAATAAAAAAGAAAGATAAATATAAGAAGAAATATAATAGAAATAAAGAGAAACTAAGAAATAAAGAATATAACTCCTATTAGTATAGGTATAACTAAGAGGATACTTTAGATTAATATAATAAGAAAGTATATCTATTTAATTAGGAATACTAGAATATAACTAAAACCCTCCTAATAAGAAGTTTAGAGTAATAGGATTCTAATTAAATAAAGTATCTATATTTAAAATACCTTAAGTACTTATTAACTATACCTCTAATAAGAAACTTAATATATCTTCTAAAGACTTAATAATAGCTATTTTACCCTTCTTAAATATTATTTATTTCTATTCTTATAATTACTCTAACTTTACTAGTAATTTATTTAACTCTAATTAAACTTTTTAATAAACTTTAGCTTTTTACTATAAAGTAGTAGCCCTCTTATAAAATTTTATCTCTTTAGTTACTTCTACTTAGTTTAGATAATTAAACTTTACTACTAAGCGATTTACTACTTACTAAAGTTAATAAAAGAAACTATATTACTACTAAAAAACTTATAGATATAAATTATATCCTTAGAAGTATTATATAGGATACTTAAGTAATAATAAATCCTATAGATATTAAAATCTAAAAGAAATAAATATTATATATTACGTAAATAATAATTTAAATAAGGTATATTATTCTTAATACTTTTATTAATAAATTAAAGAATCTAAAATAAATAATAATAAGTTAAAGCACCTAAAGATTTTAGTTTCTAAATATAACTTAATATAGTGTTAATATTATAGGAAAATTAAGAAATATAATTAATAGATCCTTAATTTAAAACTAATAACTTACTTATATTAAGTTTTAAGGATAAAACCTTTAGAGAGAGGACCTAATATTATAACCTATTATATATAAATAATAATTAACTAACCTACTTAGGTACTAAGTAGCTAAGATAGGATATTTATACTCTATAGGATTATAAGAATAATAAGGACTTATTTAGGAATAGAAGAACTATAGTATAAATTATATAATAATAAGGAATAAATATAGATAAAGGACCTATAATAAGTACTTAATAGATACTAAAATAAGTATTTATCCTATTTTAGAATAAGTATTTATAATAATAAGGGAGATAGTACTTATAAATAATAGGACTATTTATATAAAAAGACTTATAAATAAAATAACTTTAAACTTTAGTTTATAGTTAAACTTCTATAGCTCTTTAATAATTAACTTAATATTTATTTTTATAGATACTCTTAGCTTACTTTTACTATAAATTACTTATTAAGACTAAGACTAATTACTTTAGTTTCTGAAGATCTAATCTATAACTAGCTTATAACCTATAACTTAGACTATAACCTTAATATACTATTATAATATATTAATCCCCAGCTTCTATTAGTAGACCCTACTATTAGATAGCTAACTATAATATATATATATATATATATTTAACATCTATAGTACAATTACCCTATTCTTATACTATATAGCGTACTCTAATAGTAGATCTATAAGATATCGATATATTAATTCTTTTTAGGCTATAGTGCGTCAAACGCTCCAGGGGCGACAGTCTCAATGCCTCACACATCAGCAAAGAGGGAGTCAAGCCAATACTTATTGCAGCCGCATATAACGAAAGCTTCGATGCCTATAAGGGACGCCAGTGTGAGCAGGCAGGACGGGATGAGTACGATAATAGGGTTCTTATAGTAGAAGGCTTTGTTATCGATACGATTGAGACGACGATGCCTTAGCCAAGAGGTGACGCTGGCCAAAAAAAACTTCTGGACAGGCACGGTATCGAACAAAAATGTGGAGGTCAGCCTGGGAGATCGCAGCTTAAAGCTCTTTACGACGCCTTAGTCTTTAATAGAACTAGGCCCAGAAGGGTTAAATCGAACGACAGTACGCAGTCCAAGCGACTGCTTGGTCTGCTACGGGACGCAGAGATGCTCGGTACCATATCTCATGAGGATGTTAGCACATGGTCAGGATATAACACAGAAATTGACTTCAGGCTGTTGGCCGAGTAGTATCTAAACCTACAAAAGACAAATCCTGGCGCTCTCGATGAGAATAGGACAATGTTTGTGGGAGAGGTTAATGCAAGCAGAGGGATCGAAGCGACCGGGTTCAAATCTGTTGGAAACTACGTTGGCAGGACAACCCGTGGTGGGAAGGCGGGAGACGTTATCGCCGTTCTTTATGGCAGCCAATTTCCAGTCGTGCTTCGACAACTGGGAATTGAGAAAGAACTCCGGTATCAATTCATCGGACCCTGTTATGTCAAAGGACTCATGTTTGGAGAGGCGGTTGATGCGTCAGAGGTACAGGGTAGAAGGGCAAGTAGGCTGGCTTTGGTTTGAGCGTTGGATTTTGTATGAGACCGAATATATGCTGCCAGTTATAGAATTGGTGCGTAACTACCGTCATTAAAGGTCCGAAACCAATTTTGTCGTAACTTTGTGTCCCAGGGGGGATTGCCTATCAAGATGCAAGCCAGGCCTGATATACGGCAGTAGATGACTCCGTCCAATCTTCGCGATGCTAGCTCAACTTACCTAGCATATGATCCTCATTGTTGCAATATCTTTCTTTTGTGGAACGCCTTTTTCTATTTGTTGTGGTTCGCGGACGTGCTAAGTTGGCTAATGCAAGGCAACCTTTGGCTCCGTACCGCTAGTGCAACAGTAGACGCTGCGTCCTTTTCACCCTCATGCAACCATGCACAGTCCCACGCAATTCGTCGCGATGATTGATAGGACGGAAGGGATGACTACCAATAGGAAACGCGAAGCACTGTCTTTTTACCGGCACAAGACAGTCGGCAAAGCCCGAGTCTGAACCAGCGGGACGGAGATCAAGACTGATCACAATTACCACATAAAGTCCCCCACCCCACGCCGCCTCCGCCATTCTGCTTTTTACATACCTCGCTCTAGCATGTGCTACCAGATCGTTGAGCTGTATGGTGCATGTCGTTGTCTTTACTACCAGCATGCAATCGACCGGTGTGCTTCTTACGGTCGGTCGGGTCACAGTATTCAAAAGCGCACGATTTTGGTCGGCTCTACATGCCACGATCACTCCATTAGCCACTCCAACAGCGCTGGAGATTCGAAAGTTGCAGGACCAGCAGCTAAGCAAAATAGTTTTATACAAACATATTGCCAGCGTGCGAACGAACTGGGATAGTACAATTGCTCATAGAAGGACTGTATTCGCAGAACCCAAACCTATCAGGTTATCATTTTGATTTCATTCCCTCACTACTATGGATTGTGGTCAGGTTCTGGGAGATAGGGGTGCGGGGATTGAAAGCTCTACAGCCATGTCACAATTCGACAATGGTAAGTACATATTTCTTAGGCGAATCACAGAAGTAATCAAGGGAACCTTTGCTAAGATATTTGGTATGCCTCAGTCTACTGTGCTCTTCCTATTGCGACGAACGAGCTTCGTATTCTGAGCGTGCACCCCGCCTCAACTATCGAATCGCCAGTCATCGCCGACCTTTTCATTGAGAACTTCCAGAGTCGGCAAAACTCCTATGAAGCCCTTTCATACACTTGGGGTGATTCATCCAACACCGAAATAATCACTGTCAACGGTGTAGAAATCCATGTTACCAGAAATCTGCGACTGGCGCTACAGACCTTGAGACACCAATCCCGAAACCCAAGCAAAGCCGTTCAGCTTTGGGTTGATAGTATCTGTATCAACCAAGATAACGTGGCCGAGCGAAATACCCAAGTGTCCCAGATGGGAAAGATCTACTCCCAAGCTGCACACGTAGCTATCTGGCTGGGGGATGCATCGAAAACATCAGAGGCTGCGATGAAGCTTCTCAACGACTGTTACAAACTTGAATTGGATGTCGAAATCATTGAGAGGGTCGTCAGTGACGAGCTTGGCGGCCGAGCACTGACGGAGCTTCTGCAACGGCGGTATTGGAAACGCATGTGGATATTTCAAGAGATTGTGTTGTCTCAGTCAGCGACAGTGTACTGTGGCCAGCGTAGCGCTAGATGGGACGTCTTCAAACGGCTCGACATGATCTCCAGTAGACCGTCCTTGTGGCCAGGAATGGAAATTCGTAAAGGCTGGGTTTTGGATCTTCGTCGAGCGTTTTTCAGCATTGCCCAGTTCTGCATAGGAAGAGAGGAGGCTGGAGACATGACAAATGTCCTCCAGCCCACGAGGAATCTGGAATCATCTGATCCTCGCGACAAGCTTTATGCTCTACTAGGCGTGTGCGATGCCGACTCGTTACCGCCGCCAGACTATTCCAAACCCGCCAGAGACGTGTTTATCGACTACACAAAAACCTTTATTCGTCAGGATAACGACTTATCTATCCTTTTGACCGCAGGACCGTGGAATCCCGAGAATGGAGAGGATATCGATCTACCGTCGTGGACGCCTGACTATCGAGGTATGAAAGGTATGGATATTCGATATTTCGCAGCCAGTCACTTGGGATACTTCAATGCGGCAAAGAGCGAACCCCCCAGTCAAGAAACATCGATGCACCACTCGAATCCAGGATCCATTCCTATCGACGGTATCATATTGGATGTCGTCAAGACCACTGTCAACTTAGGAGGAGGGGAGACCAGCCGTCAAATGGTTCTCAAACAGATAGACCCACGTGCCTTAGATGATCACCCAACTGGCAAATCTCAGTTTGAAGTATTCTTCGAAACGATGATATTCGACAACATCACATTACACGGCGGCAACAGATCAGACAGTTCGATAAGAAAGGAAAACCTCACACGACTAGCAGTTGGCTTTATTCAAGAGCTCCAGCTATTCTACCAAGAAAACAGAGTCCACCAAAAGAACGAGGCGAAGACTCAAATGGGATTCGAGATGCCATCATCGGAACTGTTTACTGCCGCCGCCGAGGAGCACTACAGGCTTTCTACGACGGATCCTGAAGATCTTCATTGGCGCCGAGAAGAATACGTGATGAGGACCGAGGAGGTTACTCAAGGTAGTCTGACCAGCATTTTTGCGACGGCAAGCAATTACATTGGAAGAGGCTTGAAGACCATCAGAAATGGCGATATCGTCGCAGTCATATTCGGATGCAAGCTCCCAGTCGTTCTCAGACAATGCGGGGGGCCGTCGACATTCCAGTTCATCAGCCCTTGCTATGTCAGTGGCATAATGGATGGGGAAGCAATGGACGGCCTAGACTATGAGTGCTTTCCAGACGCAACCAAGTCCAACGCTTTGCAGGTTAGGCGATTACATTTAGTATGAGTCTTGCCATTCCGGCAGACAGTGAGTACAGGTTGTGACAGCAACGAGGACGACGATAGCAACAAAGGTAACGATAGCAAAGACGACGAAGGCGACGAGCTGAACAAAAACGAGAATTGAAGAGAAATGCAGATACCATAATACAATAAAAATAATAACAGAACCATATTCCTGTATCCAGTACTCCGCTGGGTGAGCAAAACCGCCCAGTATGAGTGCGTAAGCCACAAGGGGACTCTACCACTAGGCAGTCTTAGACTTTGCTGAGTCTACTCTATGCAACCTTTCTATCCCGGCTCTTGCGCCATCCCTTTTCTTCCGTTTTCCGTCGAAGTAGCGATACATGTGTGGACTGTAGATGCCTCCCATCAGCACACTACAAAATCTAGGCTCTTGGAGCCAGAACTTCAAACCTTTCCATCCCCATCCCAAATTCTCATTCACGCCGGTACCAGCTGTACGATCGGCCCAAGCTGTCCATTCAAGCCCGTTCACGACCGCAGGCATGACATTTCTCTTCTTAGCTAGGGCTGTTGTCCATGCATGCTGCCTATCAATGGAACGTGCTATGTCTTCCGCGGAGGGCAAGGGTGAAGCTCCTTTCCAAATCTGAATAATCGCCATAGCTGCTAGGTCATACAGTTGAAACGCACCAGTTGCAAAGGCTACGCAACCCATGAACGCAAGAGACTCCGGATATTTCTCAGACAGAACATTCTTGTAGAGTCTCGGAAGTGGTTTGCCCCTCGCTCCCTTCGCAGCAACCCATTCTGGGTTCGGCGTATTTGCTGGGTTATCCTTCGGATCAAGGATGCTGAAGTCAGCCTTATATCCAGTGCAATAAACGATGGCATCTACTTGAAGAACCCTTCCGTCAGTGAGATCAACCTCGTCGCCGGTCACTTTACCAATGCCAGCTACAGATTCAACGTCTCCACGTTCCAGTGCGGGAATGATCTCGTCTGAAACCACCGGACTGGTTGTTTTCAAAGACGGTGCTGGAGAGAGGTTCCACTCCGGTCGAATTTTGAAGTTGTTGTCTTGCAGTCCCTTCACCACCCTGTTGAAAAAGCTCTCGCTCGCCTTTGGGAAGAAGTATTCTAAGAAAGCCTGAACTTTTGTGAAGCGAACATTGATTGTGTGGTCGATAGGTCTCCCGTTGTTGACGCGAGGAATCTAGAGCAACTGTTAGTCGATCGCAAGCTGGAGCACATGAATAGTCTGACTTACAACATAAGCGCCTTCTCTATGAGAGAGGTAAATCTTCTTCGCGTGTCCGATGAGGGATACCGCCGTATCAGCACCGCTATTCCCAAAACCGACAACGAGTACACGTTTCCCATCAAATTCCTCTGGTCTGATAGAATACCTTAGCAAAATGGCCACGGACACAAGGCCGGCTTTCTTGCAAACCTCTTGAACGACTTTGAGTGTACTTGTTGGCCAGGGAAAGATTGGATGCCCTTGATGTCGGGGTAGTTGGGCGTCTGGTTCATGCCTGTTGCGATAATGACCCTGTCAAAGATCTCGGTTGGGAAGCCATCGATCTTGATGACCCATTTCTTCGTACGTTCCTCATGATGCACATATCTCACTTGCATATTGAGACGTATGAAAGGACGTAGCTTGAAGTGGTCTGTGTAGCTTTCGAGGTAATCTTCAACTTGCTTGGCTGAGCATTGGCTTGATACGTCTGATGAAATTTGAGTCTGACTAACATTGGTGGAAAAACAATCGTACGCTTACCTTTTGGAAACGGAAAGTCTGTAAAGCATCCCTGTTGAAGTCTGATTAGCGGGAGCTATAAAGTGCTATTCTCTAGAATAACAAACCCTCTCTTTAGAAATGTTGACGATTGTTGCTATGGCGTGTTATCGATGAACTTGGGTATTAAGAATGGCAAACCTAGAGGTCGTACTTGGGAGGACAGAGGTCTTGTTGCCATCTGGGGTGTACTTCCAGAGGCCACCAACGTATGAGCTTTTCTCAAAGCCAATCGCCTCGAAGCCCTCTTCAAGACAGTTCTTCAAGGCGACGAGGCCCAATGACCCTAATATCGTCAGCGGGACGAGTAGGTAGAACGAAGACGTGGACTAACCCATCCCAATCACGGCAATTCGGTTGCCTCTATCCATCTTGTCGACTTCAAGGTGCGATGTCATCAACCTCGATGGTGCATCGCAATGTGTCAAAAGTTGTGCGATTGCCTGACAACTTGTAGCCGCCGTTCCAACACCCCTGGAATGCGTACTTTCAGCTGCCCAGGACGATGACGACTCAGATAGCCTGATTCGCATCCATTAGTGCTGTGTGGCGTCCGCTAATCCACCCTTGACAGTGAAAATGCAAGTTACTGGCGAGAAATTCAGGGTTGGATCTGGCGGCGCGGGGCTGTGTAATTGGATGTCTTACAATCAGCTGTTGACGAATTACCGTGTCTGTTGGGGTCAGATAATAGGCGGCGGTTCAGTCGGGATTACGTTGCCAGGGTTGGCGCTGCCTTCGTAAATCCGCCTGTTCTGCCGAGTGGCTGCGAAGTAATATCCGAGGAGCAGTAAAAGTCACTGATCGAATCACTACATTATCTTAGGGACAAAAGGCCGTGGCTCAGCTGAGACGTTCCTCCACGCCGAACACGACCGGGTATAGTGAGCAGCGTAGCACCCCGTTTAAGCCTAATTAATCAATTAATTAATTAACTAATTAAATTAGAGGCTTTTTACTATTTAAATAGATAAACCTATAGTACTAGAAACTTAGTTAACTTAATTAAGCTAATATTACCTAGAATAATATAAATCTAACCTCTAAACTAATTAGAATTTTTAAAAGCTTTTTTAAAAAAATAAAAAAAAGCTTACTTAGATATTTTAGTCCCTAGTTTTATTTTAATTACTTAAGGTTATAATCTTTATAACCTTTATACTTAAAATAGATAACTTAAGTTAGTTTTAAACTAATATCTCTATAATTATTTATATAGTAGACTTATTACTAACTTATTAGGTCTTATTATAATATATCTCTAAAAAAAAAAAGGTTAAATAGTTATTAATATTAGTTTAGTAATACCTTTAAACTAATAAGTAGTAGAATAAAGTTAAGTACTTCTTAATAATAGAATTAATACTATTAGGAATTACTAGAAATACTAGAAATATATTTTTTACCTTATTATTAGATTAATATATTTCTAGTCCCTCTATTAGAAGTTAAAAAAAACCTATTTTTAACCTCTATACTAACCCTTAAAAATAACCCTTTTTTAATATTACTATTAATATTATTAATATTACTATTACTATTACTATTATTATATTTCTATACTTTAAAGACCTATTTATATATACTTCTTAATATCTTTTTTAACCTCTTACTAATTATTATAATACCTCTATTAACTTATAATTAATATATTAATTACTTTATTAATTATAAACTATTAACTCCTTATAGGATTACTACTTAGATTTATATATTACTTACTACTATTAGTAATATATTAACTATTAACTTAACTATATATAATACTCTTAAAACCCTACCTTATATTATATAGAGGGATTAGTAGTTTATTAATATTAATATTATTATAAAAAAAAGTTCTTAAAGCTATACTTCTTAAATTATAAATAAAGGTACCTTTATCTATAAGATCCTTATTAATAATAAGAAGGGTAATACTTATTAAGTTTATTAATACTATAATAAGATAGAGACTCTTAATAAGTTATATAATATTAAAACTATAACTATTACTACTTAATATCTTAAGAATAAGTATAAGATCTTCTAAAGTTACCTAGAGGGTAGTAATATATCTCTTAATAAGGTTAATAACTTTAGGCCTCTATCTAAATACTATTAATCTATTCCTATTACTATACTTAAGAAAAAGACTACTTAGATTAAAGAGTTAGTTATAAGCTTCTTTATTAATACTAATAACTCTATATCTCTAAGAAATAATAAATTAAGGAGGAGATATAAAAAGCTTTTATAAAGGTTTATATATTATTTAACTTATAAACTTCACCTAATTAATATGCTATTATTACTATCTTTAGTTATTTTATTAATAAGTTAAGTAAATAAATATAATACCTCTTAGGTCTTTATTACTAGCTTAATACTTATATTAGTAAGAATATTACTACTATAATATATATAATTATAAGAGACTAATACCTATTTAATAAGATTAATATTATAATCTCTAATAATACTAATATTAATAACACTTATATTAAAGCTTTATATTTATCTATTTTATAGTTATATATAGAAATAGATATCTAGTATTATTAAATTTAATACTATAGCTATATCCTTAACTTTATTAATTATATTATTATTTATAGGGTTAATAAAGAGGTATTTAAATAAGAGTCTAATTATCTTATTAATACTAATAAGATCTAAGAGGACCTAGCTTATTAGAAGATTAGGGGACTTATTAATAAGTTTTAGAATATTATTAAATATATTAGATTATTACTATAATACTTAGAAACCTTTTTATCTATTAGTAATAAAGCTAATAATAATAAATATATCTTTACTCTATAAGAGAAGTTATTATAAGAGCTAAATCTAATATTAAGTAATACTACTTAATAAAACTTAATATATAATATAATCTACTATACCCTACTTAAATATAGTTAGATTACTAGTTATATATATTACTCCTTAGGTCTTAAGAATAAGGATAATTATATCCTTAATAAAGATATCCTAACTAATAAGGATTAATAAATCCTTATTAAATTAAATAAAATACTTAAGTTTCTTTATTTATAGACTAAATAATATAAAAATTAAAGTAAAAATAATAAATATAGTTAATTCTAAGAGATCTTAGTAGGCTTTAAATCTTTCTTAAATTAGTTTAAAAATTAATATAAGTTCTATAATACTCTTATTATAGAAGAGATTAACTTTATAACTATATAAATATCCTAAAGTCTTTTATTATAGTAATCTTAATTAATAAAGGTATTATATTAATCTAATTAAATATTAATCTTATAAACCTTATTAATTAATAATATCCCTATTTATTTATAGTCTAAATATATTACTATATTACTATACCTCCTTTAGACTACTAACTTTAATTCTTATATATTTATATACCTATTAATTATTAATAACTAATAAGTACTTAATAACTACTATAAAAAGCTTAGAGAATCTCTTTTCTATATTACTATTATAATATTATACTTTAGTAGAGGTTTATAATAGCTTAAAAAGTATTAAAATACCTAAGAGATTTATAAATAGTTTTATACTACTAAAGAAGGTTTTTAAGAGTACTAAGAGTAGTAGTATACTAAAATAACTACTTATACTAATAAGTAAACCTATTTAAAACCTCTATAAAGGTTATTTATATTAATTATAATACTTCTAAAATCTAAAAACTCTAATTATAATTAATAATTAGATAATAGCCTTTATAATACTACTATTAATAAGATTAATAAGTTAGAGAAGTATTTTAATTTTATAGTTACTTAATCTATTAATAATCTTATTTAGTAGTAGATTTTATATTAATAAATTTTCCTAATACTTAATAAGTTAGTTCTTAATATCTTTACTATTCTAATAATAGTAACTAATTATAAGAAGATATTTAGTCTTATTAAACTAATACTAATATTATAGAAGTTATTAATAAAGCTATTACTACTTAAGAAGATATAATACTTCTAAAACTAAATTTAAAATAGTAATATTACTATTAATAGGTATTACTTTAAATAAAAGGGTTAATAGGGAGTAGGATAATATTATAATACTAAATAGGTATATTTCTAATATATTAAGATATTATAAGAGTTTCACTAACTTCCTAAATAGGTAATATCAGTTAAATTAAATTAAGTCTATTAAGTTAAGTAAGCTTTTAGTGAAAATCTAGTTAAATAGTTAAGCCTAACCCCTAGGCTTAACTTATTTAATTAGTATATAGCGCTAATAGTGAGCCAAGTGTACTATGCAGGACATGGAATAATAGAATTAGTACTATAAGTACCCGCTTGAGTTGCGCATCTATAATATAGTTCGTATAGTTGGCTAAGCTTAGTCGCTCGTTTGAAGACCACCTCAATTCAGTTTCTGCTTGATTCTATAGAAAATGTTCTTTTGTCTGAGAAATGTAGTGTCATTCAGGTACTGGGGTTTATCAGTTGACACCAGTAAAAATTGCAAAGATGCATTGATTCGCACACCATACTTTCCATACCTGAAATCTTACGAAGTCTGTGTCTTTGTCAGATGAAAAGTCCCAAACCAAAGATGTCTGTTGCTTCCCTAAGTTCCCCTTAGGACGACTCCATCCGCATCTAGTTGCCCGCGATAGAGCCACCCTTGATCATCGTATAGCTTCACGAACCACAGTGTTCCAATTGAGTCCACAAACCCATGTATCTCAAAGTTACCACGTGAATCCTCATTTTCATGAAAAAATGTGGAATGTTCCGAGTTCGGAAGCGGCTTTTCTGGGATGTTCATTGAGAATGACTCTTGCCTGTTCTTCCACCATGTAAGGTATTCGTAATGACCAGCCCACGCCCCACACATCATTTTTCTCATGGATAGAACGTTAAGATTACCGGAAAGATTTGGACTTGTAGCCAAGAGAGACGGACGGCGGCTGATGTTGAGAATGAGACCGCTCATGTTGTTCCGGATGAACTCTGCCGCTCGCTTGCCGTGAAGCATCGCAAGGTCAATAGGAGTAGAACCTATATTATCTTCCACACAAACGCTAGCACCTTTCTCTATCAGCAAATTGGCGATTGTGAAATGGGAGTGTGCGGTTGCGTAGTGTAGTGCAGTGCGCCCGTTGATATCCAGCAGATTGATTCTCACACGGAATCGCAGCAGGGCCTTCACGACAGATAGATGCCCAAGAGCTGACGCGACCTCAAGAGATTCAGCTATGCTGTTCGAAGCTACTGTTTCGTTTGAGTTGGTCAATTTTGCTTGAATACCATCCGTGTCGTTGTTGTAGGCCATCATGACGAGGCTGTCGTCGCGCAGGGGTTCAAGAGCCGGATTGGCCGTGGGTTTGTTGTCGCTGCCTGCCGTCTGAATCTGAAAGCAGCCTCGACGAACTAGAGTACGCACGATGCTATCCTCAGCCGATTCTTTGGCGAGATCAAAGAGTGTTTGTTGGTTGGTTTCCCAGGCGCCCTGTAAGGAAGCGCCGACGTCCAAAAGCCATTCTACCATATTGAGGTCTCCCACCAAAATGGCAACCATTATGGCTGTCACGCAGCCTTTGGTCTTCTGATGAATATCCGCACCATTTTCAAGCAGAAGCTTCGCCATCTCCACGTCTCCTTTGGCGACAGCGATTTGAAGTAGATTGTTTTCCCGTAAAGCCGAGTCCGGGCCTCTTATGACAGCTCCGCCTTTGAAAAGCTCAACAGCAACTTCTAGGTTTTGACTGGCAACAGCGAAATAAAGGGGTTTCCGGGATGAGCCATCCGTCATGTTCGGGCTTGCACCTTTTTCTAACAGCTTTTTGACCATGTTCGAAGAGCAAAAGGCGCGGATTAAAGGAGTGGATCCATCCGGAAAGAGGGTATTTGCCAAAATTCCGTTGGTCAGGAGGATGTCAACCAATTGCACAGCACCATGCTCGACAGCCACTTGCAGTGGAGGTTTGCCATTCTCGCCGTTTGTGTCCAATTGCGCTCCCAGTCGTGCTAGATGAGATAATATCTCACTATGCTCATAGAAGCAGGCCAGCCAAGCTGCTGAGGAACCCAATCTTGTGAGAGCATTGATATCTGCTCCATGGTCCAGTAGCTCCTGGACAATGTTGAGATTTCCTCTCTTGACTGCGTGATGAAGCGCCGTGTATCCATTGTCATCAGTTACCGTCAAGTCGGCATTGGCATTTAGCAACGCTCTGACGATGGTTGTTGAAGATAGTGCTGCTGCGGCATTGATTGGCGCGCCAAATTTGCCTCCTGCTTGACATACGTCAACATGACGGTCAAGGAGATGCATAACGAGCTCCTCATGATTTCTAGCGACGGCGGCTTGTAAAGGGCAGCCGAACAAGCCACCTTGGCCATTGAAATCAAGTCCCTGATCCTCAAGCTACTTCACCACGTCAATGAGGCCGAGGAATGACGCAAAGTAAATCGGAGTCTGGAACTCTTGAATCGAGAGCCCCTCGCGAATGGCAGAGGTTATTTCTCCCAAAGACGCCGTCTCTGAGATTGTCTCCTCCCCATACATGGTCTCATCGACCAGTTCTTCGTCGGGCACGATGTCATCGGCCATCTCTTCGTCAGGCACGGCCTCAAAAGTAATGACTGAGTAGCTTTCGCTCATATCATCTTTGTCGTAATGAGTATCGGGCTCCGCCATTTCAGCCTCCATAAGCGGCGTCCATACCTTCCAGCTGGAGGTGGTGGGATCAAAGGCTTTCTGGGTACGCTTCATGATGTCTGGTGTCGGGGCGGGCTTCTCGTGGTAGCTGTGAAAGTACCATGCCCAGGCGGCGTAGGACAAAAACGGGTACATTCTTACGGGATGAGACATGTCCTCAAATGTCTTTGGCCGTGATTGCATACTCGAATGTCTCGATCGCGTAGTCTTTGCTGGCCGCTGTGCCTTTGCCCAGGTACTCTCTGATGTCGGGTACGTCTCTGCTGACCACCAACAGGCGCGATTTTGTCTTCTCCAGGCTTTTCAGTAGTTCATGGAGAAACAGATTTCTCGGCTCGCTGTGATGATACTGAGCACCCATGTCTATAGTCGTACACTCGTCGAAACCATCGATAACGAACGTAAGCTCGTCGACGGCTTCGCCCACTGTGACAAACAAATCCCACAGCCCAAGTTGAGTCAGGGTCTGTTCCTTGCCCCGCGCCTTGTAGATGGCCTCCATGATAGATATAGTCATTTCATGCTGTTCGAGAACTTGCTCAAGCCAAGAACGGAGAATGGCATATGGGTCGCGAGTGAGCTGGTTGTCTGCGGCGCAGAAAAAGTAGGAGACAGAACCTTTCTCCTTGCGTTTTAGATGCTGAATAACTGAAGCTGTCAGAATGGTTTTGCCAAAGCCCGGAGGTCCATGAATCCAAAGCAGTCGAGGGGATTGTGAATTGTCATCGGCACTCCAAGCCTGAAACTCTGGTAATTCCACTACCCATTCGCAAGTGCCGTCATGGTGATTGTAGAGACTTGTTTCGTACGTGTTCTTCGTGTCAATTCCGCCAATCCATGCAGATAGTCGACGTCGGCGGGCCTCGTTGGAAACTTGGGAGCTTTGTAAAGTTTCTTGGATACTTTTGACAATGTCATCCAACTTTGAGCCCGCGATCTCGTCTTGTACCAAACGCACGAGCTTGTACACGTCTTCTTCATCTTTCTCAACCAGAAGCATCGGCGGTGCTACGACCTTACTGGAAGTGTAGAGTGTGCTCTTGAAGATGCGCCCTACACCGAAGGTTAGACACGGTGTCGAATTGAAGTCACGCGCGGATAGACTTACTTAATGTACTCTTTCCATAATAACGACTGGCAAGCGCGAGAAACTTCAATGCAGACCCGTACAACTTAATAAGCGCACCCGCCAGTTCTTTGGTGAGACTCGAGGTGCGGAGAAGAACCTTAGTTTCGAGCTCCGTGTACCGAGCGACGATGCGAGATACGCTCTCAATGCCTTCCAACATGTTACCGAAGGTTTCGCAATCGTTGAGAGAAGCCTGTACCGATTCGTTATTAAGTAGGTATTCAACATTTCACATTCCGTCAGGAGGGTACTGGGGGATTTTACCTGTAAGAGGAATCTAATGGCCATCCAAGGAAGTGCTGCATGTCCAGGGTCATACTGTACGGCGGCATCTCCGACTTGCTTAAATTTGTCGAGCCAGTTAACGACCTTGTTCAGGGTGTCTCTGACGAGAATCTTCTCTCCGGCGTCATTGACATAGAACACCCATTGCTTTTCTTCGCAGTACTTCGTCTTTTCTTCTACGGCTGCAAGCACGTCCGTAGGCTTTATACGCGATTCGCTTCCAGAGGTTCTGAATTGATTCTTGTCCTCGTCGGGTAAAGTCTCTAGAGCTTGTTGCCAGAGACTGGGGGACAACGCTTCCTGTCAGCATTATTAGTGAGACATTCCAGTGATGAGACACTTTAGAATGGCTTCACCTGGTCATATCCGCCACCCATTTCGTCTTAGGCTGCTAGACAACCAAGATTGTGGGATTTCTGAGCTCTAGGGCAGATTAGAGGAGCGATGCGAAGAGTGAGGCGACACAGATTGGAAATCATTAATGCGTCTGACAGCGGTTTTTAAAGGGCTGTTCTCTGGCAGCCTGGTCTACCCTCCCTTTCGTGCGCAAGGATCTGTAGTCATTTATGACCAAATGCACGTCGGGTAGCAAATACACAGAGACTTGACCGTATCGGGAAAAGCCCCAATACTGCTTTGCTATGTCGCCTCGCCCAATCGCTCAATAACAGGCAGGAGGGCGCCTAATTTGCCTCGGGATGCACATCTGATTGAGTGGATAGCTCTAGTGTTGTACAGCTGAACGTATGTCATGGTTGTCACACTGCGATTGGTCGCTTCCCAGATGGTCAGGGGCTAATACGGTGACTTGTACACCATTGGCTTTCTATGGTCGTCATCTGACTATCTCTGTGTAAATCCTTTGGCCATGTATTCTTCATCCATCAGCCGGAATGATTGTCTCCGGCCTGAAACGAAAACCCGTCATCGAAGCCTGCGCCGACGGAGATCAGCCGCCACCGGGAAACCTTGGCCAGAAGGCCTCATGAATGCTCATTGAGGAAGTGGGACGGTCGGCTCAGTTGGGCCAGGGATCTCAGGTCCGCCAGGGTTGACGGATGTGAGAATCGGATCGATGCTGATGATCTTGTCCTCCTCGGCACTGAGGACCTCGCGGAATTTGAGCAGGGAGGTTGTGGTAAAGTCATTGGTAGTAATGACAGCTCCATGGATGAAAGTGAACTTGTTGTTGACCACAACGTTTCCTCTAGATTCTAGCTTGGCTAGGAACTTGTCAAGGTCTGCTTGCTGTTGAAGACGGAGTTAGGATTCCTCTATGTTTTGTTGCGCATTTCCAAGGCAGGTACAAAAAGTCAACCTACAGGTCGAAGAATGATAATATATCGGCCAGCAAAGACACTGGCGATGAGTGAAGCAAAGGCAAACACGCCGGCGAAACGCATGTTGACTGGTGTATCAAGCTGTTAAAACCTTTTTGTTCGTTGGTTGGATTGAAGGCGGCTGGTAAACCTGGATCGATTGTTTTGCTGAAATTGTTGCTCCCTGCCCGTGGCACCCAAGCTCTTTATAATCATCAGTTCCATCCCTTCGTGCTCCCTTTCCCACCCAGTGACAAAACACAAGTTCCGTCATACGGACCAAAAATTACACCTCGTGGCTCCTGTTGACATTCACCATTCGCGGAAGGGTTTCGGGCGTCTGCCAAGGTGTCACCCAAGACAGCCGGATTAAATGCAAGCTTAGCCATAATCTCTTCTCACTTTCCTTACTAAGTGATCAAACACAATGTTTTCCCCTCAGTAAAGAGAAAACTCAAAACTGCATGTGGTAATTTCGTGTGTCTTGGATCTCGCATAAACGGCAGATCGACATTGACTGCTCATTTGGGACATTCCAAGACCTCACGATGCGGAGACGTGTATTCTTAAATGGGAATATCGCGACCGGAAAGGGTATACTTGGCAAATGTTTTCAGATTTACCGCATACAGCCGCTAAGTCATCGTAAATTAGGTCAAGTCTATTCCTCTCAAAATAGAAACCTCATATGCGCCGGTATTGCGTCAACGGGCTCTAATCTTCGTCCATCGGCTCCGACGGCTCGGCACGTCACGCCATCCCGTTCTGGCATTTGACGCTCATTCCCATCGTCTATGAGGGCTGACTAGCCTCGGAACAGCATTTTCGGGCACGCGAGTGTCTTGAAACTTCATTGCTTTGAGGATGGGGTACATCATGACAGACGGACTTCGCTTCCAGTCTTCGCGCTCTCTTTGACAGCCTCAATGATGCGAAGCACATCGCGTGCCTCGCTTGCCGGGACAGGAACGTCCTCATCCTTTCCGGTCTCAACAGCCTTGGCGAAGGCCTCGAAGAGCTTAAGGTAAGTCTTTGGCTCGACGGTCAACTTCGTCCTCTCCTCGATCTTGCCGCCCTCCTTGACGATGAGCAACCTGCCGCCGTTGATGGGGTCTTCGACGCCGAAACCAGGCTCATTCGGCTTCTTGCCCGCCTTCAGCTGGTCCTCCTGGGGGTCAAGCGCAGTCTTGTGGAATGATGCCTTGGTGCCGCGCACCCAGAATCGCGGCTGGATGCTCTCGACGCTCATGACGCCGATGCGCACGCTCACAATGAGACCGTTCTTGTATGCGAGCTGGGCGTGCACACTGTCGGGATCCTCGGGATCGAACTTGCCCTCACGCTGGTTGATGAGCTTGCCGTAGACGGTTTCAGGCAGACCAAAGAGGTGGTAAGCTTGGTCGATAAGATGAGAGCCGAGGTCATAAAGCGCGCCGCCGCCACCGGCCATGCCCAGCTCTCCCTTCCAGGAGCCAGGCTTTTCAGCACGGTAACGATCAAAGTGTGTGTCGAACTCGTAGACGCGGCCAAACACACCGTCATCAACCATCTTCTTAACGGTCAGGAAGTCGCTGTCCCAGCGACGGTTCTGGTAGACGCAGATGAGACGGTTGTTCTCCTTGGCGATCTGGATGAGCTCCTCGGCCTCAGCGACGGTCGGCACGAAGGGCTTCTCGACAATAACATGCTTGCCAGCCTGCAACGCCTGCTTAGAGAAGCTGAAGTGGGTGTTGGGCGGGGTAAGAATGTTGATGATGTCCACCTCAGGGTCCTGGAGCATGGGCTCCAGGGAGGTGTGATGCTTCAAGGTGGGGTAGCCATTAGGGGCGGATGATGATGCCGTAGGCTTGCGCTGCACGATGCTGTGCAGGTTGAACTGAGGAGTGAGGTTGATGAAGGGGATGTGGAAGACCTTGGCGGAAAGGCTGCGATGGCAAGTCAGCACGTGGTTCTCCTCGGTGAATGCGCCACAGTGAGGCTATTCCGGAAGCATGCAAGGGTCTTGCAGCAAGGATATGCGATCATCGGTCGCAGGGAGGCTCAACTCACCCGTATCCAATGATTCCAACGTTGTACTTCTTATCGGCAGACATTTTGAACGCTTTGCTGTGCTTTTGAGTCTGAGAACTTGACGCTTCGCAGCTCAAGCTCTGCGCGACCTACGAGCTTTATAGGTATCGTCGACTCGTGTTGTTGAGCATGAACAGAGCTGATGAGGGGCAGCGTGGAGGCGTGGAGGAGCACGGTGGAGTGACGGGCCAAGATTACCGCATTGCGTCACTAGGGACATGCTCGGCGCTTTTCTCAATGGACGACGGAGAAAATTGCCCCATTTTCGGAGTGCTCGTCAGGTTACAGACCCGGACGCTAACACCAGTTTGACACACCGGGATGACCAAGCATGAAGAACTGTTAAAGTTACCCAATTGGGTGACCTTGGAATACATGTCGGTGAGCCGACAAAGTTCACCGGGATCCATGGACTATCAGTCACACTCACCGATACACAGAAGCGAAGGCTCAACTGTCTGGTGGAGAAATAGGGAGGGATGAGCTGTAAATCCACCTGCCACTGAATAAACACGGAAACTGGGACTCATACGTGTCTGTTAGTCTCGCCAGCTCTCGACGAGAACGCAGAACTGTTAAAATTGCCTAAATAGGTTACCTCCCTGAACCGGTCGACGCCGCGCGTTCACCGATTCCTACGGTCCGCGTTTACGCCTACTTCTTGCAATCCTCGAATTCACCGAATAAAAATTCTTCATGACAATAAAACAGTCCATCAATCTCTCCATTTAAACGCAATTTTTACCAGTTGTCGCCAATGAATGGGAAAAATCGGTTCCCGGTCATGTAAATACCCTTCGGCTGCTCCCGGAGCGACACGAAGTCTTCGACATAAAAGTAAAGCCTGCAAAGAGCGTAGAGAGCCGATATCAGGATATTTGGAATGATGACAAGAAGAGGCACGGCCATTGAAGGATCTCGACCGACAGAGTTATTCACCTGCTTCTGAATCAGAGACCGTAACCGATCGACAATGCGTTTCGAAGGACGTGAGTCTTTCCTCTCTAGATCTTCTTGACGCCGGGCGAGAAGCTGTGCCTCGGGGTCTGCACCATGTACGTCACCAGCAGCGTGCATTCTTTCTTGGGTTCGATGCCATTTCTGGTCCTCGTAAAGCCAGTGCAAGGCGCCGTAGAGGGAGAAAAACATGTGGTACGGTGCCGCGATCCTCCATATCAACTGTTCGGTGGATGTCGGGAAGTGGAAGTTCCATCCAATCATGAAAGAAGCGCTGAAGCCGACGATGAAGACACCTCCTAACGGGTAGTACAGGAGCTCCATCGGCCGCCACAAGTCGGATGGGAATCTGTCCCAGAGTTCTGTCGTGATCGGACGGCCGTATGGATGCAGATGCATCCAATCGCCAAGGCGCTTGTAGAAGCACCAATATGCGTCTATTCTGAAGACGCGAGGTGTGATGTCGTCCATTGGCGTACGATGCCAGGAGGTCGGAAGCCTTGGATGGGTCTGCTTCTGATCAGCATCTGCTCGATCCTTGGACGAGTGAAAAATACTTACATGAGCACGGGCATAATTACGAATTTCCCCAACGGTGTATTGGTGTCCGTCGCGTACTTTGGTCTCGATGTACCGGGGGTACTGGATGCAAGGTTTGGGGTACCAGCAAATGAACGTGGCCACCATCGCAAAGGTGAATGACAGCGCGGTCAGCTCCAGAGCGGTGATTGGAAGGCCTTGTGAGATCCGGTCCATCTCTTGAACGAAGAACCAAAGGGCTTGCCACAGGGTGATCAGTCTGCATAGTTGGTATGAGTTACGCCTTGGCTTTGGATGCACCTAGTGCCGACTTGCCCTCACCTTGAAAGGGTATCGACAGAATTACGCTCAGCGATGTCCATGGAATCCATGTCTGGAAACTCGACAAAATTGTTCTTAACAAGATAGTGCAACTGTTCGGCGTCAATCGGGAAGCCATCTGAAAAGTCGGGAGTTTTAAGGAAGATTCCCCCCATATCAACGAAAAATGCCTGCGTGTACGTCCATTTCTTTCCGTTGCATAAATGCTCGTCTTTCCGAAATTGCTGCGTTAAAAGTTAGACCTTCGCCTCATGAGTCCTTCAGATGACGGTTTGTCGCACCTTCACACTTCTACGGGCGCTAGAGAGCTGTCCCACTGCCAATCCAAACAGAAAGTCAGGACCCAACAGCCCTATCATGGCCAGATTGACCTTGTCAAAAAGTCCATGGTACCATTTGTCTTTTGGTGAGAGTGCATTGGGGTGCGTTGATACCCAGACGCAAAGAACGATGGTCAACAAGCTCGACCACAGAATGTCGATGCTTCCTCTGTCTCTGCCTGCAGCCACCCACCCATGAACTGATTCGTGAATTTGGCTTTGGTTGAATGTATTGCGAGTTGCTAAGTTCCGAAGTAGAGAATTACTGAGATCCATAAGGCATTAGTATCGCGTTCCGTTACATAGAATTGTTGTGGTACGACTGATCGCGAAATGAAAGGTGGAATCAAGCGACACCGTTGAAAGCAGCGAAAATGACATTATACGGTGATTCCAAAACAACGGGATTCAAATGAGGTAAGGGGTACTTTTTAAAGGAGGCCTCGTCTGCACAGCCAACAACCTTTGGGGGCCAAAGTCTCATCCCCATGGACAGCAATGCCCGATTCTCGCAGTGGGAAGTGTTGGCGCGATCATCCGCAGATGCCTGTTTCATGTCCCTCTTCACATGCAGGCAAGGGGTGGAGGCGAGGGAGGATTCACTTCGAACGGTGATGTCGCCATGAACCTGATCCTATCTGCGGTTATGTACAAATACTTGATAACCCTCCGCGGGCAGCCGGTGCAGGTAAGAAAGAAAGGTACATGTACAAGAATTTGCTCTATTAAGCCGATTGAACCAGGTTGGCAACTTCGATCTGGCCAATGAAGTCTCTTCCTCAGTCTGTTGGTTGTCTGCACCCTGGACGACCTCGAAGCGCCCGAGCCCAACGAATAACCGCCCACTAACTCGGCCGGCTCCACTGAGTCGTAAAAAGTTGCATGTCGCTTCGGAATGACTTCTTATTCGGGCAAATCGGCAAGGCTATTTTCAGATCATCAAGCTGCATTGGGGTAAATACATTCACATACAGCCAACGGCACTACCACGTCGACAATCATCAGACCTCCGCCTCATATCTCATGTTGAGCCGTAATGGAGACTCTACTAGGCTCCCCACTACTGAGTGGTTCAAATGCTGCTCTTTCGCAGACAGCTGCTGCGGGCGGGGATATTGCGCGGACATCACTCCTCAGCTCATGAATTGGCATGCTAGAAGGACTCGAAATGTCACGCGGGGCTTCCAGGATCGCAGGTAGGCTTACTTTGGATTGCTCTGTGCGACTGATTCACCACATGCTCGTCTGACGGCTTCTCCATTTTGGAGACAGAAACGGCTTGCAGCAGCAGATGAAACGGCAGAATCAATCAAGACATGTAGTTCGACACTCATCCGAGAACCAGAGATACAGATCGTTGGGTAGATGGAGATTAAGAAGAAGAATGGACTTACAACAAGACCATTTGCTATCTGCTTGCAAGCTAGACCTGCCCTGCTCCGCCGCAAGTCTCAGCCATCATGCAGACTATTTTGTGGCTTCACAGAGGAACCTGTCAAATGAAGTCGCTTGTGTATGTCTCAGATGATTCATCGCCCGCAGATCGCTAAAACTAAAACGCGAAGACAAAAGCGGAAGGGATTCTGGACATAAAATGGTCAACAGCCTTCTCATACATCATTCAATCACAGAGTCTCATTGAGTAGACCGCCTAACCTCTACACCTGACAGCAAAGAAACTACTAAAATATCAATCGCCATCATGAGTTCATCTACAGAGTCCATCGTCTCGTTCTACGACATCATTCTGGATCCAGCTGCGTATCCCGGATCTCCGAATCCGTGGAAGACGCGATACGCTCTCAATTTCGCCAAAGTCCCCTATCGCACGACTTGGGTGCCCCTCAATGCCGTCGCTGAGACACGAAAGTCTCTTCAACTCCCCGCAAACCGCAAACACATGGATGGGAGCGACTTTCCCACGCTTCCCATCATCCGCGATCCTCGCTCTCCTCCTGCCGGCAGTAAGGAAGTAGTACTTGGCGACACATTCGACATCGCGCTGCACCTACAAAAGACCTACCTCTCTTCTCCGTCTACGTCCTCATCCCAACAGCTCTTCCCCGCAGATGGAAGTGGAACGGTAGCACTTCATCGCGCCTTCAACAAGTTCGCCGATGAGTTGTTCTCCCAGTATGGAGCTCCGCTTGCTGGGTGCTACATGCCTTTCGACCCACGGACCGAAGAAGCCGACAAGAAAGCAATGATGGACCGCTTTCCAGGAAAGACGAAGTGGGAAGAATTTGAAATTCCCCGAGGGTCGGATGTCAGGAAGAAGTTTCTTGAAGATTTCGAGGAAGCACTGGACACGAAACTTGGACCATGCTTTGCCGCTGCTGCAGATGATGGTAAGGGTCCCTTCATGGACGGCCGGAAGACCCCAATGTATGCCGATTTCATAATCGGCGGCTGGCTGCAGATGATGAGAGGCTGCCTTCCCGAGTGGGAAGAGCTAAGGGATAAGTGGTCTGGCGGAAAATGGGGTAGACTGTTTGACGCGCTGGAGGAGTGGGCGAGAGTCGATGGACGAGATGGCGTGGTTCCGGCACGGCGATAGAGAATGTCGGTGGATCTGAAAAGCCAAAGTGCATATTGCAAGGTTCACATGATATGGTCTTTAGTGGAATTCTGTATCTTTCATCCGGTTCCATGAAATGATAAGTTGCAAATTTGGGACGAACCTTCATTTCTGCATGATTTATTCGAAGCGTCTTGCAATCCCGGCGGATAGCTATTTCATCAGGTTAATCTCACAATCTTTGAGTTATTTCATATTACTGATTTCGTTATCCCGATTATTATCGTTATTCCTATTACTATCGTCCCCGTCATCCTCGTCATCCTCGCCATCAGTCGTCACTATCATCGTCTATGCGTGCTCCCCGCCAGAATAGCTAGAAATATCCGCCCGGATAGTGAAACTCTATTCGAAAACCATACAATCGTCGCAAAATGCTGGCCTGTGAAATTTGGCCGAATTGCAAGGATAGAAGACGGAAAGACTTATGAAATGGAAGCACAATGCTCTCAGACCCCGCTTCGCATACACCAAGACATTAGAGCCAGGCCCAATTTGCACTTAATGTTGCTAGGAAGATGTGACAACATAGGTGGTCTGTCCAGTACATCAGGGCCCCACGCCCTCAAACGGCAACACCGTTCCTATTGTCCTATCTGATGATGGATCGGACTAGACAGAATCTAGAGAAGATACGATGAAAGGCTCAAAGACATTGGGGGTGGTGTTCGCGGAAAAATGGTGAATGCTCCGCTTTCGGACGGCAGAGGCATGCGACTGCGCATCCTAATATTTGCATCATATTTGCATGATATACTACAAGTCACTTCCACACCCTGATTGCACTCGACTGGCGCCTAATGTGACTGCATTCTGTGGAGTCTCCGACATGTGCGGATGGTGCTGTGTGTCAGACTCAGCCTGGAATTTATGTACGCCGTAAAGCTTGTGGAGCAGAGAAGGAGGAGGGGTATACCGAACATGCAAGTAAGGTCGCACAAGCAAGGGGCTTTCGGGTGTAGTTATGATAAGTACCATCTAGCTCCGCGCTCAGTTAGCTTCTACGGTTCTGCTCTGATTCTCTTCCTTCCCGTCAGCCATTCTCGAAAATTCCCGCTATTTTCATATGGGGATACTCAACTCCAGCAGGTGACAAGGACGCACAATGTTCAGACTGCTCCTTGAGCCACTTTTCATCCTCGCCGTATCTGGGCAGGAGGTCACATGTTCTGCACTAAATGGCGATATTGGCGACAAAACAACGTGGGTTCCTTGTAACAAACTTGGACTTCAACAATCGGGTGTATTCTCCAGCTGTTGCATCTTGGATGGGCCGAATGAGTCGCGGGATGCCTGCGACAAGAGTGGTCTCTGCATCGATTCCGAAGGAAAGTATCGTACAGGGCTCTGCACCGACAAAACCTGGAATTCTAAGGCTTGTGTCCAAGAATGCGTCAATGAAGAGGTATTCCAAAGTAACAGATTTCTGTTGGGATTTAAAGGCTGATCCATAAGCAGGCTGGGGCCAATGTGTCCAGCATGGAGTTTCTAACTCCTTGCGACTGGAATACGTCCACTTTCTGCTGTGGAAAAGACGACAGGTCATGCTGCAACACCGACCGAGCTGCCAGGATAGCTACAGAGGAGTCAGTTTGCACGCCCTCTACTGCTGATTCCGATACCAATGATAGCAACAAATGGGCCTTCAAGCCTTCTGCTATCGGCATCGGAGTTGCGGTTGGTCTCATTGTTATGGTCGAAGCTCTCTCTGCACAGTGGCTTTGGAGACAAAATAGATGGATGAAGCTCCAGATCGTCGAGGCTTCAGAGACAAGCCCGTCTACAGAACTTCGGGCCCTGATGCAGAATTGTGACAAATTACAGCCAGACCTCTCTCATGATTGAACAGCTGCATTTGTCTTGAGATTTCTTAAATATGGATTTCGCAATGCTAGGCGGGCATCTTAAGATTTATGTTCCTACAGCGTCTGCTATGTTTCAAGACTTTCCTCAAATGTATGCATCAGCTAGCCAAAGCGGCCTTCGACCGGTAGCTTGCGTAGAGACTGTCGATGGTGTTTGCAATCTTGTTGGTCTTGTACGTTTTCCTTTGGCCGCTGTGTCGTACCATTAACAAGTCCTATCCTACTTCAATAACATCCTTCGTTCCTTCAAACATATTTTAGGGAAAGATAGTGGCCTATCTAGTAACTCTGTTGGCCTAAAGGTTACCTGTATGAAAAGAGTTCTAATTTGTCGACCACTCTCCTAGCCCTTGGCCTCTCTAGACCTTCCAGTCTCTAATTCTGGTTCATGGCTATTACGTGAGTGCCTTTGTTTGAGCTCAGGAATCCAGAGAGCCATATCCTTCAAAGCCGAGTCCTGTGATCCTCCTCTTAGAAGCTTTACCGAGATCTGCTTAGCAGACTTCTCCATGCCATCTGCTGTCATCAAACGTCCTTCATTGGATTTCATGATGGGTGGTATCTTTTCATGTCCCAGAGATTGTCCATCTGAGGTGATGAAGTAGTTTGCGTAGTAGATGAGTGGTAAAGGGTTGCTTTTCCATACCATTTCCCGGTTCCTGTTCTTTTGCGTGCGAGCGATGGCCCAACCTAAAACAATGAGTTCGGCCATCAACATAGATGATGGAAAGAGTAGCCAGCGCCATCGGACTGTAATATATGTAATCTCCTCAAGTCCTCGACCGTGGAAACTGTAGAGTTCTCCACTTCCGAGACCTGAAAGGCTGGATCTGAATTCGGTTGTTATCCAGGCTGCGAAGTCCGTTATTCGCTTGTCGATACTTTCTTTGCTTGACCTCCCACTCTCCCACAGCAGCTCCAGCCACCATTTTCCGCCACAGTCAAGCACTGCGGTCTCAGATCTTGAGGTTTCTCGGCTGCAGCTGCCGTTGAAAATTTCTTCATTCAGGAAAGAGGCCAAAGTGGATCTGAAAGTGGCGGCCATTTTAAATACGCAAGGCTTCGGTACGACTTCGACGGGATGATTTGGTGCGCTCGAAGGTGATAGAATGCGGACTTCTGAGTCGCTAGCCAGTTGGCTCATCCGACCAAAAACGGTGGTGGTTTCGATATCTTCGTACCCATAGAGTGCATTGTCTACTCGACATGGGGACTGCACCGCGGTGAGATCCCAAGAAGCTGGCAACGCATCAACTGGCCCCCCAAAAGATACGTTCTTTTCCCTTTCCAAGTAGCTGATTGCGTCTGGGTACATAGGTGTTTGATGAAGTGCGTCCTCACGCAGTGTGTCATTGAAGACGTGTGCTCCAAAATACTGCAGACATGGCCACAGAGAGCATGTCCCCGCGAAGATTTGCGGAAGAATTGATTCGGCAAGCTGGCCTGTCGTGTGGTTGGGATATGTTCCCCTAGTTCTTGACATGAACGTAAAATTGGTCATAGCAGCCCAATATTGCGGAAGTCGGGTTCCGGTACCATTTGTTGCCCATGAAGTGTCGTGGTCAGTTTTGACAATGAAAATATTGGGATCGCCCGCACCGTTGACTGAGAGGCCATTCGGCAATTGGAAGGAAGAATCACTGAGTTCAGTTACCAAGTGAGTGAGATCATGGCATCCCCCGCAAATACCGACCGACGCGTGCGTGGCTTCTTTACGGTCTCGCTGAAATCGGGGCACAAATATGCATCGCCCAGTATCGCATGTTGCCTCGATCCTGCCGTCGTTGCTCTGGGGATTTCCGAGGGCGGAGTAGATCATTCCCCGTATGCTGGCTTTGAAGTGCGCCTTACCCGAGTTGTCGACGTCTACATCCCCATCGCCCGGCGCTTCCACTCTCCGAGAAATTGGAATCCACGCAGCTGTACCTGGAGGCACAATGTCTATTCTCCTCGCGATACCCACTCCCTGCTGGACGAAAGGCCCGATAGCAAAAAAAGAGATAATGATGATAAGCGGTGGTAAGCAAGCAAGATCACGTAGGGCAACTAGCGGGATCAGCTTCAAAGCACCCAAAGTCCCGCGGCTCGCGTCGTCAAAAGCTTTGATGTGGTGAAGAGAACGTGCCGGAGAGCGCTTCGACCAAAACCATATCCACTTGAATTGTGATATGATTTCGAAACTGACGCCCACTAGGAGTTCTCTATAAACTGTAGAGAGGACTGCGAGGACAGAGTTGATATTTAGGGATGTCAGCCACATAAGGTCTGTTGTCGGTCTTCCGTCGGCGTAAAGGAGAATCGACAGAATGCCGATCATGAGAGTCGCCGCGCCAGCGAGATTGAGAACCTCCGATGTCCACAGTCGTACGATTGATGGCTTCTCTGGCGTTCTGTCACATTCGGCCTTCGTCTGAGATTCTCCTTGATTCATCTCGCTTGGAATCATGACAGGCTGATTTGGCGTCCATGACGTGGATGGTATCGGCTGTTCAGCATCAGAGCTTGCTCTTTAATGCTCTAAGATGCCCAAGTCAGATAGCTCATTACTTTCGTCTTCAACAAAGGAAGCTGACTTGTCGATCAAAGGCTCCTCAAAACTAGTACGGACATTACTTTTTCCAAAGTTGCGAACCATTGTAACGAATGAGTATACTGGGATTAAGTGTTGACGTGGGAGTTGATACTGAACAAAATAGACAGAACGTGTTAGGGATTGATTGTCATCTTGACGATGAGCAGACTTCTTATGACATCGGAAGAGGCTTGCCGACGAGGTGGCTAGGTGCATGCATGCTGCTTATGCTGACCTGCAGTCTTCCGTGAAAGCTTGGCCTCTAGGTAGGTATCCTGCGCAGCCTGCTCTGTCACACCAGGGATGGAAATGAGAATTGAGACCTCATTCGTCACACTGCATTGCCAGTATGTCAACGCTCTCGTCAACTTGTCTGTCTCACGCGGAAACACCAACCTATATGCTATTTTCTGACTGAACATTTCTTGCGCCACTAAACTTGCAGAATTTGAAAATCAGGCCATTCTCTCGTAAAATACGATAATGATACAGTGTCAGAAAACGATGTTACGGACGGTCTAGCAATGGGCCATATAATGTCGGGGTTAACTTTTCACAGAATGAACTTCTCCCCAGCTGATGCCCAGCAAGGGCTTTCTTTCATTCATCCAATGTGATCGGCAAATGCACGCAATAGGGGGAGAAATCAGGCAAAGGGCGTAGTTTTAAGAAACGTTTGGCAGTACTGTGGGTGCTGGACAGTTCAGGAGGTGGGAAGCTGACCAACCATCTTCCAATACGGATGCGATGCTTTACAGCCTGCCTTGCGCTTGGTCAAATCGGGTAGGAAAGTCTTGAATGCCAAGGCGAGTAAAATGAAGTGGAGGTTGGAACAACTGTCATGACACTCGACTGAGCCCAGCCTGCTTTTTTTACTCCAACCCCAGCAATAGAAGGAAGAACACGGTTGTTGGCAAACGTTAGGCATAAATGTTTTCATTTTAAATATCTGGCTGGACCAACTAATGTAACTTGGCGACATGGAATCAGAACAAATATGAATAAGTCGTGAAATAGCAACTGAATGAAAAGACCTGAATAGAGCATGTCACTCATGGAGAGTATGGGTACAATCTCCAGGAGCAGAAGCCTCCTACGCCGTCTCCATGGGGGTTTCCGGCTTACGCGCGTACACGATGTGTCTGATTGATGTTAGCCCAGAGCCCAGGTGGTTCTACAAGTACACCTACAGGTCGAAGACCGGTTGCGTCCTGAAGTTCTTGAGGGCCTTGTGGAACTCGCTGCTTAAAACCAAGATCTCGGCCATTTCCCAGCCCAAGACTTCTTTCAAAAGGAATATCCCAAACCCCTCGACGGATTTATCAAGAAATTCCAGTGCACCCGAGCCGACTTGTTTCAAGACGAGGTCATTAGCCCAGGCCCCAACAGGAATTGGCCACTTCCTTTCGACGATATCAACAAATCCTGCCGCTTTGAGGCTTTTAGCTATGCCATGATCACGACACTGAAGTCCCACTTTCCCGAGCCGGCCACAAGCTTCAAGAAGGTTTCCAGAAAAGGACTTAAAGGCATGCTCATCATCAAGCTCCTGGATCTGCGATCGGAGCTCAATATCATGCTCTTTGACCTCAATATAGCCACCAGGTGCTATGCATTTAAAGGCCTGTTTATAAAGATCCGTCCAGTTAGATATACAACCTTCAAGGTTACGAATGTGAATAAAGTGAAAATAGTTATCAGGCCACGTCCACGGCTGCTCGATATCGTCGATCTGGAACTTGCAGTTGGTAGGGACCCATTTAGGCTGGATGGGAGATACGTCAACCCCGAAAACCTCGGCGGAGGGGAATTCGTCGGCGAAATCGCTGCTTGCGTTGAGCATATCTTCACATTTTGCCAAGCATGTAGAAACTCACATAGCCCAAATCCCGGTCCCAGTGCCAAGGTCGAGAACCCTCTATGAACAGCGTGAGCCCCGGGATCTATACAAACCATTCCTTAGAAGGGTGTTCACCTGCGGGTTGTCACCGATTGGGGACAGGAAGAGCCTGTCCCTGAGGAACAAGGTCATAATCCAATGACTGTGTCGAAGCTTAGGGTTTGTGGGCAACATCAATAAGACCAAAAAGCCTTCTTACTTGATCTCAAGACCTTCATTCTGTCTCTCGTCATTTGGTCCCCAGTAGTCGACCTTCTGGGTATACGTTCGACCTTGTATGCGACGGTACTCGTAGATGCTTTCGCTCAAGGACGCATTTGAGGACGAAAGGATGCTGGAGCTGGTCAGTGTCTTCAGCTTCGCCAGTTTTATGTCGGACTAACCTTCCTGTCTCCGCTTCGGACTGAGTTTCGGGTCCCTCCTCCAGGGCGGGGTCCTGCCATGAGCTGTGGTCAGCACAAGTTCGCCGCCTGGTCTGCCGATACATCCCCGGCCTTTCTTTAGAAGGGGCATTGAAAACTCACAATCGTAATCGGCCCTTCAGCGCGTTCCACGCCGGCGGTGTCGGCCGGCGTCGGCGAGCCAGTTGGGGGCGTGGTGGGGTTTGCAGTCGCCAACATCACGGTCACTCTTGAAGATTCTTTTGGTTTATGACATGAGGGAAAAAATCAAAACGCTGTAGACCTGGCTGTGGGCTTCCCCTCCCTTTTCTAATGATCTCTGGTTGTCTGTTGGTTCTGCCTGCATATGCACTTGCATACAGGTGGACCGGCCAAGGTTTCGAGTGCGAGGCCGGTCTCCCCGGACGAATAACGCACTTCGCCAGTCAACTCTACAGCGGCTTTTAGACTGGTTTCGGAAGAGTTGAGGCACAACGGCCCGCAGTGAACGACCACATTTGGGGCAATTTGCAAGGGGGTCTTGTCAGGGCGCGACTTATCAGCTGATTTTGGCGGATAAATGACAAGCGAGCACAAAACCAACCTCTCGCCTAACTTTGCTTGGCATCTGCTATTAGTGAATTAGGAGCCATACCACCAATATCTTTATGAGCTGAAAAGTCTTCACCTCTCTCCTCTGGAGCCCTCCTGCGACGGCCTCACAGCCTCTGGGGGACACCGCCCTGCAGCCGGCCCCTCCGGTCGGTCGCCCTGCACAGTCGGCTTAAGATCATCTCCATAAACAGCCGTGAAGTTATCCCACCAACCTGAAAGTGTTCAAGCCATCACAGTCTTTCCTCTATCCCTGGTCAGTCGAGACCGAATCTTGACCCGCAAAGCTCGATGAGCCAGTTGCTAAAGCACGGCCGGTCCATGTTTCGCCTCCTGCTGCCGACCAAGTGCCACACTCAGTGCAAAGACAAGAGCTTGTTCCGTATGCAGGGAAATTATCACGGAGAACGCTTCCATGATCGGTTTATTACCTCCGATAGTGACCGGATTCACAGTCTGGTTGTTTTCCCGTGGAATGTCGGCTGGAGCGGCTTGTTGTTGGAAGCGATAGAGTTAATTGTTGACCTGGAAAACCTCAGCCGGACGTGTCAAGGGGTTCGGTGAGAGACCAGTTGCCGCGACGACGCCCCGAAATTTCCCGACAATGAAGAAATCTTTTAAAAAGATCACGTTGGCATATATTGTTCCTAACAATCTATCATATCTCTTGTGGTATGAAATACTTGGCACTCTGTCGTTGTCAACTCGCTCTCCTTCCAGTATACGTCAGATCACCCGCGACGACGGGATACTAACCCTATGATATACTCTTCCAACAAGCCTGTTATGTAGTGAACCTTTTATTTAGGATATGAGAACAATCTAACTGGTTCTAAATCTGGGGCTGAAACTCAACAACATTGCCGTCCGGGTCCGCCACCATCAAATACCGAGGCATAGCCTTAAGAATCTCGTCATTCTCCATCTTGGTCAGGTTCAACAACCCGAATGCTCGGGCAAGAGGTTTCGGAAAGGTTTGTGGCAGCTCTCCAGCTTTGCGTATAATCGTCACGTTATTATCTTTCATTCTCTTTTGCGTCGCGGCAACATCAGGGACAACAAAGCCCAAATGCGAAAGTGTCCCACTCGGGTCTCGCTTGCCAGCTTGATTACTTCGATACACCAATTCGATGAGACCTTCCATATTGCTTCGTTGGCGGTGGAGTTCTGAACTCGGTTGCCATCCGGTTCCATTTCTGCCGCCATGGCTGTAGCCGAGATAGACGATGCCAAACCATTCAGTCGCCTCAATATGATGGATGACTCGCATGCCAAGCATACGAGTGTAGAAGTCGAGACTGGCCTCGAGATCGTTAACTAGTAGCGAGATGTGGTTCATCGTGTAGGCGGCGGTTGCATGGTCTGGGGCAACATCCTGGCCGTGGGAGAACCGAGGATAGGTCTGGTTGCTACCCGTCGGGGGAGGCGTACATGATCTTCCGGAGCTGAATAATTGGGCCAATATCACGAGAAAGAGGAAGTTGAAATTCGGTAGGCGCATGTTCAGAGGTGTTCTCTGGGAATGTACTGAACGTGAAAGCTAACGTAGGGGGCCTGCAGGAACATGACAGATGGAAGAAAGTCAACGTCCATTGAATTTGGTGCTTGCCACATTCCTTTTGAAGGGGTTGAATAAAATTCCATGGCCGAGGCAAAGTACATCTCGCAGCGGTGTGTTCTTGCAGCCTTTGGCGGAACACGGGCATGATTGAGACCTGTCCAGTAATACTCAGCTTGTAGAGGCCACCGCATGCTGTGTTACCCTTCGGACGCAGGTCCTGTTTGCTGCAACATCTCTCGTATTCAGCTCGCAAACAGAGATTTGGTCATGACCCTTGCCCCTAATTCATGTAGGGCATCTTTTCGCGCAAAGCCCAGGCAAAGCTGCACCGTATGCCATGGACTTGAAATTAAGTCAATGGCAAGCCACACGTTTGTCCTGAATATAGGCAGAGCAACCCCCCCCCTTGAATCTCGCTTATCTGCGTGACATGTTGCATTTGACTTGTTCCTGCCACGTATGATACTGTTGAAATGGACCATTCATAGTAGGAGATACTTCGTCCCCAACGACACCCATACGATGTATGTGTTTCTGTCAAGCCGAGTCATGGCGCCCTGTCGAGATCGTATGTACCCGCCAAGCGGCAGGCGATAAGAGCTGTAGATGTTTCAGCGTAGCTCCAAACGGCTGAATTCTGGACGTTCGGTCTTTGAATATCGTCGTGTCTCACCAAGTACATCTAGCGCCCGCTCGCATCTATGTTACGGCGACGAGGGCAGTAACAAATGTCAATGTCGGATACTGAGACCCGGCCAGCCTGTCGTACTCATCCGTCGCGTCCTTCGGATGTGTCACCGCGGTCCGCTCGTTTGGTACTATCCGCGGTATTTGTCCTGTAGACCAAGAAGGTTTCGTGTATCGCATGGACCTGCAGAGGACTGACACGAGTAGCACCTCCGCATGTTGAATAGCTGATGTGAAGTCCTCGGCAGTTACTCTCTTCTGTAGCGTTACTTGGGATCATACTTATCGGAGAGAACACCGGTCTGAATAGTGATTGATCACTAGTATGAATACCTTAGTCACAGGTGGGAGCCGAAATCTTCGTGATGCCTACTGCGAGATTCAAACTATGGGCGAGAATCATCTGTTGCTAAGACTACGTGACACAAGCTAGTCAGACTAAACATGAGAGAGCCATTCCAAGACGGATATATGTTCGCGAACCGCTTTCGGCGTTGCCGCGTCCCCCAGGAGTTTGACGTAGCTCAATACATCCGAACTACAGCTTCACGCATTTTCGCCACCTCCAACCGATGCAACTGACAACGGCAATCCACACCAACTAGCATCCGATCCGACGATATTGCGAAGGATTCGCCTCTTCGACTTCCGAGCTGAAGTCTCGATTTGCTGATAGCACAGCCTACTTTCTTTGAGTCGTTGAAGACATCGACTAACGGCGGTATCCGATGGTTTAGTCGATGTTGAGCAGAACTCAAAGCACGGGGCCACCGAAGCTAGGATGACAGGTCCGGCAAAGTACCCGGAACCAGTTCGAAGGACGAGAAACTCTGAAGCTGCATCCGCGGAAAACCCGACTCTTCTATGGACTATCCCGGTGGAATGCCACGGGCGACAACTCAACATGGGCTCATCGCACGACAAACCCGTAGCCAATAATGCCTTCTAATCAGTAATCCTCTACAGAGGCGCTTCAAATTCCCTCAAAAGAGTCATGGGAATTGGAAGAATACTATTCCCTTCGTGCGAAATTACTAGTAATCGGACGAGCCTAAAAGCTTATGTCCAGATTGGGTCTATCGCGTGCTCCCTGAATGGCTGATGGAAGCGACACATGCAGTCACAGGATGTGTGTACTACTATGCTACGCAGTAAGAGCGGGAATGGTACCGGATAACGTTCATGTAGGAACAGTCAGCCTGCCCGGTAGACAAGTCATCCGAATGACCACGGGCACGCCGTTAATACGTTGGAGGCTGTGTAATAATAGCAAACTTCGCATCTTGCATACAAGATAGATCTCCTGTCATGAGGGTTGCAAAAGCCTTGAGTGGAAGATTTCAGGGCACGGTGAGCCGAAACGAAACCAAAGGCAGTGCCGGCCAGACTTTTAGGAGACGACGCAGGGTGGTTTCGCACCTTATTCCCGTTAGCCTCCATCGTAGCCTGAGATCTATCGTACTTCAGGGAAAACTAAATTTTCGGGCGAGATCCGGCCTTCTAGAATGCAGTCCACGTGGGAAGACGCCTAGACCGTAAATAATTGCCACCGTCAGCATACTACATGTTTAACGGGCGCAATTGTGGATTTGGCCAAGACTCCACGATGTTTCTGTTGCAAGTGTTAAGAGTCTAATATGATCGGTCGATCGTTTAATCACGTGGGGAATTTCCCCAGGCTGATCAACGTCTGACCCTCACTTGGCAGAAGAAATTATCCGAACGGCTAAGACTGTCACCCACAATCACCATGGGGAAATGGAACCGGGGAAGTTGAAGGCCCATAATGATTTCTCATCAAAGTCGAGCGGCTATATGACTAACCGCTGCCTCGGTTACGGTCTCGCGTTGCTGTGCATCATGAGACCGTTGCAGAGAAAAAAACATGAAGCAGTCAAAATGCTGGAACCGCGTATGCTAGGATCGCTGGTAGGGACAGGCAGAGTCCAGCAGTTCGTAAGGGAGTACGGGAATTGACGGCGACTGGCGGAAGGGAAGGGCACGGCCGTTTCTCCAACTCGTGGCATCACGTCGTGCTCGGACATTTTGAAGCTGCCCAGAGTTCAACCTGTACGAGTGAACCAATTAAATACTTTGAATGGTGCCGCCCCTTGCACAAGTCTGCAGGATTGACCTTGCTTGAATAAGCCCTCGCAGCTCTTAGCAGAGTGAGTTAGTCAGTCCGGTCCGCGGGTCGCCGAGCTGATGAGAGCCCGTCCCGTCAACACATACTTTAGCCTGGAACGCTTTGGAACGGGGATGGAACATGCACATTTCTCTGCCTACTCAGACATCTTCCCATAGGCTGAGATGGTACACCACCAGAGGCCGAACTCTAATCATCGAAAATTATGAAAGATCAGGTGTTTACCAGTGCGCTGCGTGTGAAGCGCAACTCGGCGGCGCGGGATGTTTGCCGATGGTCCTCCGAAAAGGAAGGAAACGTTCATGTCCCCCCACAGGAGCCGCTGAATCAATTCTGCTGCCCTTGACTCGACCGTATCTTATCGTCTGACCGGGATGAGGAATCTTGGCACCGGAGAATAGAGGACGTGCCGTTAGCTCCCCCATCCATAGCCTGTCAACTTGAGCTGGGGTATATCTCGGACTCTGATCTCCTGTTATATCGCCCACAAGCCCGCCTTGCCCCCGGAGCTGAGCACTTCGTCATATAACCCCACCGGCAGCCCGCCCACGATTGCCGGATGACATCGTCACGCAGCTGCGCAACGTCGCCTACCAATTCAACATTGCGGAGATGAACGAGTCGATAGACCATTACGACTCGGATAACTCGCCTTACTCGATTCGCCCATTGCCACCGGTCCTTCGTCATGGCCTTGCCGCTGTGGCGGCGATGGGGTTCTTCTCCTTCTTCACCAGTCTCGGCTTATTAACGTTCCTGACGTACAAGCTGATAACATGGCACAACGGACCACCGAGGGAAGAAAAAAAGGACCCTATAGCAAAAGTAGAATCGCCACCACCGACGGAGGCTGCGTTTATCATCCCGAACGAATGGTCGGCATCTCAACAAGAGTTATCAGAGAAGCCGACGAAAGAGACATGGTTACAACGAGCGATCAACGAGCCGCCAAACCAGTTTTTGGTTCTAATATTCAACCTTCTACTGGCCGATACACAGCAGGCACTGGCTTTCTTGTTGAACGTCGAGTGGCTTACAAGAAACGCGATCGAGGTGGGGACGAAAACTTGCTGGACGCAAGGATGGTTTATTTCGACAGGCGACCTCGCCTCCTCCGTCTTCATCACGGCCATCGCTATGCACACATACATTTCTATCGTCAGAGCGAAGATGCTGCCAACATGGGCATTTCACACCGCCATTGTAATGATGTGGGGCTTCGTGTACGGCACCGGAATCCTCGGCGTGATTGTCACGGAGAACGGCAAGAATGACGGCGGTTTGTACGTTAGAGCAGGGGCATGGGTAAGTTGTTGGACCAAGACCGAAACCGAGTCAGGGGACTACATGCTGACATGGTCACAGTGCTGGATCAACTCGAAGTATCAGGACATACGACTCACCTTACACTATCTGTGGATCTTCATTTCTTTGATTGTTACTACCATTATTTACTTTATAATCTTTCTTCATCTGCAAAAAGTGGCGCGAAGGAGCGGTGGGGTTGTCCCGTGTTGTGGCTCCCCCGCACCCGAGCCAGCTTGCTGCGGCTCATCAACATCCGGAGAGACATCAACCTGCAGTGGAACGACCTGTGTTGGATCGGACTCTGGAAGAGCATCATCTTGCAGGAGCGGAAGCACCTCAACAAGTAACAACAGTACACGAATGTCACGGCTGCAAAGTTTTCGGATCGTATGTCTCACCACAATTCTCAGACGACTACCAGGTATTCCGGATTATGCCCGGCAGCACACCTTTTTGCTATATCCCCTGGTGTACGTCGTGTGTACTACTCCGCTAGCCGCAGGGCGTCTTGCCTCTATGGCAGGGCACGAAGTATCCTTGGGCTACTTTTGCTTTGCAGGAGCAATGATCGCCTGCAATGGCTGGTTAGACGTGGTCCTCTACTCTTCGACGCGAAGGTCAATCGTCTTCTCTTGTGATGGCCCACCTTCGCAGGAGACTGGTCTGGAAACATTTTCCTTCATGTGTTCCCAGCCCCCAAAGTTCGGTAACACGACTATTGTGGTTGGCGGCATTGGTCGCCCTAGGCAGAGACGGCGCGATAAATGGAGCGAGAAGATTGCCCTGAAAGGCACAAAATCAGGCAGTTTCAAAGGCCTCGGGGTTGACGCAAACACAAGTACAGACAGCATGAGAGGATTCGGTATGGGAGACGGCTCAGTTATGGGAATGGCTATTCAGTGCGAAACGGTCACGACAGTATCTGTGGAGGTCAACAAGACCCCGCAGGTCACACGACCAAAGCTTGCGGCGTTAGGCAGGAAAGGGAGTGATTCGAGTTCATTCAGTGCGACATCTACGGCCATGTCATCAAGGTCTTCTAGGATTTAAGCCGGTGGTGATTACGGACTCATACGAGCTCACGGGAGCTTGACGTCAGGCAGCATCTGGGAGACGGTTTACGAATGATTAGAGCTTCATGACTGGGGAACGGACCACACGGCCTTGTCAGCTTCTCTGAAAGCTGGCCATGACATATACCCTGAATAGGCATTCACTGTACATACTAGGAATGGGGGGGGTATTTGACTTGGACTATCAACTACAATTTCATCCTCAGCTTCAGTGAAGTGACACTGCACTTCAGCCTGGTGGTGTGCGCTCAGCCTTCGGTCCTATCCGAGCCGCACACAGAGTTCGCAATCTCAAACCCGATGACAGGTTGGGGAGGCTTGACTCGGCGACCTCCTTCGGCCGTCTGGCCAGAAATGGTAGAACTCTAAATGAAGTTGCCCAATTGCGACCACGAGGGCAAGGCCGCTCTAACCGATGGACAGGACTTCGTTCCGCGACCCTTGTGTGCTGACTACCGTGGCACCCCGTCAATCCACGGAGCGGAACCTGCGCAAGGGACCCTGACCCAACGCTTCCAGGAACGAGGGACACACACATGGCCAAGAAGTTTGTTTGCCAGTTGCGAAGCTCCGAAACTATCGGCGTTTGGAGGAAGCGAGCGATCATTGGCCACAGAGTCCGTTCTCCCGAGAGAAAGTTGCTGCTCTGGTTTCGAATATCTCCATTCTTGAATTGCATCTCGTTCTCGTCATTAAGTCTCGACGGATTTACAAAGGCCGCAATAACCTCGACGGGCTTGGCGCTCATCTGTTCAATCATCTGATACTCCTTTCAATAGTAAATCAAACTACGAGTTCCTGAAACATTGACTGATCCTTAATAGTTGGTGTAAAGTCATAATTCGGAGGGCATATCCAATCGTGAAATGTCTTCAAGATAGGAAACAGGTCGCCAGCCAAGATGCCCCTTCGCACAGGCAAAGACATCTTTGCTCTATGTGGCGATGCCATTGTGGAACGTGCAGAAACTCTATAACCCGGGCCCAGACAAACGGTACAGACGATCTATGAGATCTGAGTTCGTGCCACCGGCTGTCTCGTCTTTAGGCTAAAAGAGTAAACGGGATGGTTCGTTGTCGGATAAAGATGCATTTGGTAGACATTTTACAGCAGGATGGAAATATCCGCCAGCTGCCATTCTGAGTTCATCAACCCCATGGTCACTATGTTTGAGGCTGTGCTGTGGTGTTTTCGATATGAGTTTGCCAACGTCTTGGCATCGTGATGGTCGGCCAAGATGCTTTTTGGTTCAAAGGGGCTTGTTGCACTTCCCAGTACCTACGGACGACTAGTCATAGATGCGCCATTGTAATGTCTTGGCGTCTCAACTTGTAGTGTGTAAGAGCAAAGCCCCCCACGTCCATAATTAACCCAATTGAGATTTTACAGTCATTTCCGCGGGGTATGACTCTGTGTGCAGAGCCTTTCCCATGGATGAGTTCCACGTGGGCAAAATCCCACGGGAGCTATGGTAGAGTTTCCATGGAACTTGTACAAGGCAACAACTATGACTTGCACAGAAGAGAGGTGAAGATTGACTCGATTTGAACTATGCTGGTTGGGTAAAATGTGGAATGGGTATCTGGGTATCTTCCACAATGGATCACTCAACTCTCCAGCAAACCATGCAAATTACTGCCTCTCCCTCGTCTCAACAGCGACATCCCTCTTCTCATCGAGCATCTCATCCGCCACGACATTAATTCTGCCAAGCTGAGCATCCTTTCCATCAAAGAGCAGAGCAATCTGCTCCAAGCTGGGTCCCTTGGTCTTCGGGGAGTTAGCATCGGCTCCCACAGGGTTAGAGGGCTCATCCTTACCTCGGGAAAGAACAGGTACACGACCACGAACTGCACAAGAATCCAGCCAACGTAGAAGAAGTAAAACTTCCAAGACATGGCCGCAATGCCGACAGGGTTGACATAGGTATTGAAGGCCCCGCAAATACCCGCAACCAGACTGAACATGGCCATGCCCTTGGCGCGGATGTGGTAAGGCAGGATCTCGACGACTAAGCGGCGTTAGCAACTCTTGGTCCCGCATGCCTGGTCCCTGGCTTTCGCGTGCTTACTGTAGAGCATCTGGGCTCCCGTCCACCCCAGGTTGTGGACACCGCTGTAGAGGTAGATGAATGCGACTGTAGTGTAGCTCGCGTGGCGGTTGCCGGTCTCTACGTAGGCTCCCGTGGTGGCGGTGATGACAGCGAAGACAACCCACATGAGAGCCATGCTGATCAACATCAAGGGCCTGCGGCCGACTCGCGCAGGCAAGAAGGCAAAGGCGAATGAACATGCGAAACTGAACATTTGGGAGGTTGCTGTGATGAGGGTCGTCTCAATCTGCTTGCTGATGCCAGCGCTCTTGAGCATGCTGCCGAGGTAGTACCTGTGCATTGTGAGCTATGGGTCCATCAGAGCGGCTCGGGTAACTCACGAGACCAGGCCGTTGCCTGACCACTGCTTGCAGATACCGCACCAGATAATGATGAACGAACGGTAGCGGTTACCCTTGGTCGCGAATAGTGCCTTAAGATGGAAGGGATTCTTGTTCTGAGTCATTTCGGCTTCAATCGTCTCCTTGATCTCGTTGTACTCGTGTTGAACAACCGCATCGTTGGGATCGCCGGCGCCGTGGTACTTGGTCAGGATGTCCAGGGCAGTCTGCTCTCTGCCTTTGCTGCAGAGCCATCTTGGCGACCTACGTTCAAAGGTTAACCACGCCGAGTCAAGAGCAGATTTCTTGGCGAACCTACTCGGGGAGGAAAAAGAGGCCGATTAAAACCATCGCGCTTGGGCCGGCCTGTACAACTGTGGGCGCTCGCCACGCCCTACACCCAAGTTAGTAGCCGCTGAGAACTCTGTATGTCGTACACGTTGATACACACCAAGAATCTGGGATACGGAAGCTGCCAAAGGCAACCCATGCAGCCAAGATGGCTCCGACAGAGTAGGTTGTGGAACTGAGTGCCGTGGCCGTGGCGCGGTGCGCCGGGTATGCCAGTTCGGTCATTAGAATAGTCGAAACGGTGCTGCAGATGACACCGCCCATGCCAAGGAGAAGACGGCCCGCGATAAATGCCCCGACATTCATAGTTGCCGCGCAGATCACGGCACCAACGATGCAGAGAACACATCCCACCGCGATGGCGATACGACGACCCGTCCGGTCAGAAAGAATCGGGATCAACAGGACACCCATGATGTTGCCAACCCAGTAAGACGCGCTGAGGGCTCCGAGGAGGCTGTCGCGCGGGTGGTTGAAGTCTGTTGTTTAGTCCGTCAGTTGTGTTGAATGAGCAGTCGGTAGAGTTTCGGCAACGAACCATCTTGCCATTGGTTGATCTGTTGCAAATTGTTGATGAGACTGCCATCAAAACCGTGCGCGACGTCTCCCCAGAGCAGGAAGAACAGGCCAAAGTTGAGCGGCCTCAGCCCGGAGTCCTTGAGCCAAGAGACCGTCTTGGTGTTGGTAGGCGTGGTGGCCTCCAACGCCTGACGGTCGTCATTGTTATTGATCTTCTTGTCCTTCCAGACCATCTTCTGTTTCTTCTTCTTCTTCAGCCTCTTGAATCTTCAAAGAAGGATGAGCAAACGCAACCCTGCAAAGCAACGGCTCAAAGTTCGGACGTATCTCGATGTTTATAACCAATTTGCACAATGTAACATTCCGCTCATCATTACCGCCTGAACGGCTCGGCTCCCCAAAGTCTTGTTTGCTCAATTTCTCGGACGGGTCCCATTCCCAGCCTCCCCCGATGCGCCTCATTGGGCAGAACAAAGAAGCACATGCCTGCAAACGCGGGGGAACTGGAGAAAACGGGGGAAAACCTGCGGGGATGGCATGGTTCGACGGCCTCGACCTAGCCGGACCAACAGGCTGTCCAGCTACTCACTAACTCGTGCCAGGTAGGATCGGGCGTCGTCAGAACCGCCGGGTCATACAAAGGTGTCGGTGGTCGGGGCAAGCTTCGGGTGGCGGGAGCGGCGTCGGTCGATCGGGGGAATCGTCGCGCGGCCATCCGTCCATCGCATTTGGCTCGGCCCCCTCTTCCCCGAACCCAGGAGTAAGGGTTTCCATACGTCACTGTGGTGAAAATGGAGGGGTGCTCGCGGGCCTCTCCACGCGGGGTTCCCATTCCCATGTTGCATATTTGACTTTGGAAAGTCTGCTTATCGGCTTTCGAGAGAATGATGTCCCAACTGAAACTTTTGTCACAGTCAGAGCTGGCGCTCGATGCGCGAAGGGAGCACCGAATCAACGCAAACTCGTTCCAACAGGATGCGCTGACAACCTTCAACGGGTGGCAGTATGCCTGCTTTTACCGCCATAAGGATGCGACGAGTAATGTCCTCTTCGTCAGCTTGGCGCGGCGACCCATCAGGGATACACTCGGCGATTGGGAGACATTGACATTTGAGGACTATGAACAAACGGCGGATGATGGACACAACACCATCTCGATAGGCGTATGTGAGGGAGACGGCACGATCCACGTCGCCTTCGACCACCACTGCGATCCGTGAGTTGCTCGATCACATGATCTCATAAACGGCAACGCTGATACCATTGCGTTGAGATTGCACTTTCGCATGTCAGTACCAGGCGTTGCGACGAGCCCAGAGACACACAAGTGGGAAGCATCGCTGTTCAGCCCAACACACAATCAACTGCCGGGATACACGCGCACCGGCCAATTGGCGATTGAAAAGATCTTCCTGGAAACGACGTACCCTCGCTTCATTCGCGTCGACAATGATCTTTTGTTGAGCTATCGCATCGGCATGTAAGTTGAGATGCCCAATCTCGCGAAGATGAAACCTGCAGCTGACGCGGACGCACGAAATGCAGAGCCGGTGCAGGCTCCGATCACCTCTTCAAGTACAGCAGCAAGGACCGAACCTACTCCTACATTGGCCAATTTCTCACCGGCGTCAAAAACAACCCGTACATCAACGGCATTTCTTATGCCAACGGCCGCGTGCACGTGTCTGGGACATACCGGGGGTTCGTATGGTACGAAGGCGTGGACGACCCGGAAGCGCGCCTGCACACGGTGCAGGCTGGACCAAATGGTCCAGAGAACAACTACAGCCTCTTCTACGTCTCGAGCGACGATCTCGGCAAGACGTTCAACAACAGCAGAGGCGAGCGGCTGGCGAATCTCGAGGTCGGCGAGACTGTCTTCCCAGACGCGGATGGCCTGATCGTGTTCGACATCCCGCAGAACAGCGGCATCCTGAACCAGGAGGCCCAAGCAGCCGACGAGGACGGCGGGTTCCACGTCTTGAATCGCGAAAACGAAGTCTGGATGCACTACTACCGCAGCCCCGAGGGCCACTGGAGCAGGTACGCGTTGCCTGACGCGCTGCCGACGCGGACGGGGGCCCGGGGAGATGTCATTGCTTTACCCGGGAAAAGGACGGTGGTGTTCGCTCTGCCGGGCAATCGAGATAACAAACTCACGGTTGTGGGCGCCAGGCTGCCTGAGACTGCGGCGGCGGATGATGCGACGGTGCGGTTGGAGTATCGCTGCCTGTGGCAGGGGGATGGGTTTTCCGGGGAGCCGCAGCTCGAGACATTTGTGTCTGGGTCAAGGCAGGTGGTTTCAATATACACGCGAACCGAGGAGAAGCAAAGAAAGGTTGTGGTGTTGGATTTTGCGCTGGAGGATGGCCTGTGAAGCGGCCATGGCGCGGGAACAAGATGCCTCAGACAAACGAGACGGCGGGCAGATGCAGGAGAACGCGCGTGGAATTGCATTATTTGCTTGGTTTAATGAAACAGACATTTGCTACACGCAACATGACGTCGCACGATAAAGCAGAAGAAGAAACTCCAGGTTCAAGTTTGGGCATTCATTGTTTGCCGGAGAAGCGCAAACGGTGCGAAGCGGTGTGCTATCTGTTATCTAAAGGAAGCACAGCCAGAAGCAAAAATCCGCTATTGTGGCTGTTCTAGCGAGACATGGGAGAAGATCGTCATGTCAGGGGTCTTGTTGAAAACTTTTTTCCCTCACATGCCAACAACGCTCACTGACTGAAGTCAAATGGCTCTGCAGAGGCAGCCCAAAGCCCTGACCATATTTTTGATGAAGCTTCATCTCATCTTGCAGATGGACGAACGATTCGAATCTGTACTATGCAGTAGATTCGTATGCATGTCAATCAACATTCGATGCAGACAGTATCTCGACACCGGGCACTCACATCTTCTCCAACGTGACGTGCTTCGAAGACCCAGAGAAAGGAACAACTCATTGGCAGAGACAACACCAGCCGCAAAATCGGCAGACATCTCAGTGCCCAATGGCCAAAAATGCGGCCGATGGGCTTTCCAGTCTCATCGCGGAGAAATCCCATGCCACTCAACTGGCCAGCGCAGTGCCCCTCTTCTCACGCTTCACCACCAATGACACCACACAAACCATCGGATCCTTGTCCAGCACGGCTCGGGCGCTGCCCAGCCACCGGGAGTTCCAGAAGCCCTGATAGGCCGGGTTCGTGAGCCCATCCCGCGGTCGAGGGCCTCTCCCCGTCTTCTCTCTCCAACTCCCCTGGTCACCCCCGGCACGTCGTCCGGGATTTGCTGTTGGGCCCCGTTCCGCCAATGCGGCGCTACTGTGCCTAACCTCGTGTTGGACACCTGACAAGGCCTAGTCAGGGCCAATTATAGCGCAAAAGCGGCCAATCCAGAGCCCCTGGCAGCCCTAAAGTCTGTTTCTTGGTGTTTTCCAGAGAATTTGCCTTCGCCCTGGTCTTCACTGTGCCACAGCGGGCGATGGAGTGATGCCTCCACGTCTTTTTGCTTTACCCCGGTAGGTTGCCTGACAATGGAAGAAGAAGAAGCATCTGGCCTCCGTCTATCGTGGCCAGCGGCCGGATCACCACAGAGACAGCTGGCCATTCGTCTTTCTGCGTGCCCCAGCCATCCCGAATCCCACTCCGAGAGGGCATGCTTACGTCTTCATGCCCATGTTCACCCTCTAAGAAGGCCTCTCGCTTCAGCCACCCAAGCCCGTATCCGAACTCTGCCTTCCTCTCCGGGGTGGCTGTCGCGGACTCGACGGCGGTCCCCGTACGGGGAGGGGAAGGGGTAACCTCTCGCCTACGCCAAGGGTGGCAGAACAGTATGGCGTGCAGAAAGAAGCATCACCTGCAGACCGTGAAGTAATACGGTGAGTGCCGCGTTCCTGCGCGGTCAGGAGACTAGAGAGACGTGGGTACTGCACGGAGTAAGCTTGGGGTTCTGCATCCCAATCAATTTTTTAAATAGAATTACCGCCTTTTTGGCTTGCTGCTTGTTACCCCATATACAAGAACCCGAGCCATCCCACCCGCCCGCGAGAAGGGATCGTACACTTTTTTTGTGACTCAACTATCACCAACCCACACAACCACACTCGCTCGCGTCCAGCCCGGCCGTCGTATCTATCGAATTCCATGGCCACTTTACGTTCGTTACAATAACTAAGCACTTATACCCGTCACTCGCTATATATCCCAATCACCTGGGAAGAAACATGAAGATCCCGAACGTCCCGAGAAACGACGTGGTAAAGATCGGCACCGATCCCGTCGCCGTCGACTTTTCCGGAAACACCGCCGCCTCCACCCCGAGCACCAAGACCCTGATCATCGTCTCGACCGTCCTCGGCTCTCTCATCCTCGCCGTCGCCGCCGTCACCATTTACCTCGTCGTCGCCCGCGCCCGCCGGAAGAAGCAGCTCGCGCACGAATACAACACGGCCATCCTCCGCAACCCGAACCTGACCTGGGAGGAATATGCCCGCCGCACGAAGCTGAGCCATTCCAGGATTCTGTTGGAGGAAGAGCTGCAGCGGAGTATCATGATCCGCAAGTCATTACAGAGCCGGACGGACGTCTCCACCGTTACTCCCGTGTCGCCGCCCGCCCGCACACGATCGCGCACCTGGCACGCGAGGACTAGCTCAAGGACGAGTGTTGAAGATGAAGAGGAGGGGGAAGGATTGTTGATGTCTCTACGCGGAGACTGGACTGAGCACGAGGCAAGAGTCGAGAAGACGTGGCAGATCCTACATAAGAAGTACCCCACACGGCGGGTTACACTGCCGGTCGAGGAAGACGCCGGACCGGTCCGTCCGCCGACGATACGACTCAAGACCCCGCCTTTGCTGTCTCACCCGATGTTCCGGGGATGGAATGGGGAGAGCGAGACGAAGCATTCAAGTTTGCCGACCGAGCTGGCCAAGATCAAGCCGGCTCAGATCTGATGAGGTGGTCAGAAGTAATGTTTCATGTTTATAATAATGTCTATAACGCGTCGATGAATGGGGGATCTGGCTTAGTCCCAGCCCAGCGTGGCGTTCAGGTACAGGTATATGGTTGATTGGCGTCATGAAGGCATTCTGTGTTGGGGTTCCATCGTTCCCTGGGAGTTCAATGGTCACTAGATACCTAGCATAATTCGATCTATTCGTCACTAAGATACAAATTCTCAGCCTTTCCCCCTGAGAAAGAACTAAGGTATGCTGACCCAGCCCGTTTTAGCTGGTCACTGTCACAGTTAGTCATCAGCGTCTCAGCAGGGTCGATTGATTGTAGTAAGGCCATCACCATCAAAAATACAATACCTAGTCGACAGTGATTCATCCTCAAACACTCTTGCTCAGTTTGTCAGATCTTCAACTTTCCTGGGGTCCCATGTATCTTCAGGGGTACTGTACGTGTGGTAGGTAAATCACCCTAACGTCAACCATAGCTCAGCGGTTTCATCAGTAGCAGACGAGCTCTATTCCCCTAACAGATCATTTGTCCAAGACCTCAACTCCATTGTGAAGCCAGCCGTATCCCTCATCGTTAGAATAAAGATTTTTGAGCCAACACTATTGAATTATGACAGAGACACAAGCAGTAATATTATGATTAATAACTGACGTTCTGCAGCTAGACAAAGGGCTTAGTGGGTAAGAGATCTAACGTAGTCTCAAAAGCAACCCCTGTTCATTTTCATTCACATAAAGCATAGGTGTCTAGTGTGTCTATTATCAAAGGAGACCGTCTATTGTTCCTGTGCTACAGCGACTACTTTCCCTGTAGCCATACTCTACTAACCGTACTGTCGTTGTTGCTTCTGTCCTAACCGTTATATCTATTATGATAGTTGCTATCATTATAGCTATCTTCATCCTCATCGTTGTCCTCATCGTCGTCCTCATCGTCGCTATCGCTACTATCGTTCTAAATATGAAAAATCAAATACGTGGGAAATATAGCCGCAGAGACGCAGGAAAATTAGATGGTCTCTATCAAAGAACAAAAACACCACCGACGGAACCACGATGTACCTGTCAGAATGACAAGGGACAATACATGTAATCCTGGAAGTTGATGGAAGTCACGGCGATGAAGGAATAGTTGCAGTAACAGTGGCAACAATGCCAGCGTCATCCACGAAAAGAAAAACCACAAAGAAAATGCATGGCAGATACGAAGAACACCATGGAATGATTTGATGCCACGTTCCCGACACGGACGGAATGTGGAAGGGTGAATGGTACGGTCACTCCTCTGAATTTCTACTCTGAATTTAAATTAAACTCTCCCTCTGTATTTCACCTTCTGGGTGCCCTAACTTTATCATTCGGCTGACGTCCGTCTGACATTCTGAAGTCTTCCCACTTCCACTGGTGTGTCAGAATCAGAGCTCCTTCTCGTTTTCCTTCTACTTCGGACTCGCCGCGTCACTCGACGACGACGACGACGACAACGACGACGATCCACCACAATGGAGAGGCTGCCACAAGAGATCATTGACCAGATCATCGACTACTCACCTTGGCTGACCGGGCGCCGTAGTGCTCCGAAGTTCGTGACGGTTTCCAAGAGATTCCAACTCTCTATTGAGCGGCATACTTTCAGGGAAATTGACATCAATCATGTCGAACTGGAGCGTTTCGCAGAACTTTTCACCCACCCGCACCGCCGCAATCTTCTCAAGCATCTCGGGTTTAAAATCAAGCTTCTGCTTTGTCGGAAATATCCCGAAGCAACCGAGAGAGAGGCCAACAACAAAGTTGCGACGGATGCCATTTTCAAACTTCTAAAGTGCTTATGTCGCTGGAAAAAGAACTGCAGCATCGGGCTATTCATCACATCTCGTCCTTATCAACTAGGATTTTCCGGCACCAAGCTTGATTACCAGTACGACTATCTCGAAATCCTTTACCCCGAGCAGCTGCCGCAAGTCGACTGCATTCGGTGGCTCTTGTTGAATAACCCGGAGTATCGCAAGAAACCGGGTTTCCGCGAGTTCTCGCCATTGTCGTATCTGGCACTAGCAACCAGACTTCCCTGTCTCAAAGGCGTCTTTCTGAGTTACACCGAGCCTGGCGAATTCTTGGCCTTCCGTCAGAGCTTGCGGGAGGATTTGGTTCAAGCCATCAACAAGACACCTTCGATGGCCAATGTTTACTTTAACATTCACGGACCTGACTACACCGGTCATGACCCGCCGAGCCTGGTGCCAAACCAGGAAGAAGACCGGCTTTCTCTTGCTCTACGCCGGTTAGCTGACAGCGTCAAAAGATTTCGATACAGTGGTCCGTTGGATCCTTGTTTCTTTTGGCCTAGTAGTCTCGCGAGAAACCCGCAGCCGTTCTGGCAGGAAGTCACCCTCATGTCCATCACCCTCAACCCTGCAGCCCCCTCTGGAACGTGGTACACCGGCAACGGCCCCCAGAATGGCCAGGAAGCTTTCGCACTTCATCTCAAAGATCAGAGTCCTCCTGGCTATGGGACAGAAGAACAGACCGTCTCGGCCCTTGAATACCTATCGGAATTGACCAAGAAGATGAAGCCAGAAGTTGCAAAGCGGAATTTTCAAAGAATGAAAGCCCCTGAACGATTCAATGCGAACCCTGATACGGTCATGCCGCTGCTTAGATCAGTCACCAGGGCCATCGCCCAGATGAGATCCTTGCAGCTCTTCAAGCTACGAGATGCCGATAGCCTCAGCACGTGGTATTCGACGAACTCCTTGAAAGTGGAATACTTCCTCCCAGGTGTGCTGGACCGAGAGTACAGAGAAGAACTAGATGGGCTTCCTTTAAACAAGCCTCGAGTTCTACTGCGCGCCCGGGGCCTGGCAGAGTCTGGATGCTGTGGAAGTGAACTAGAAGATATGTTCCGGAAGGTCTCAATCACAAACCACCACCAGGAAGCGATTGTGACATGGATCTAGCGCACTATTTTCGTCACATTTGATGGAATATCGGCTCCAGTGACGACCTTTCACGATGCACGTCTCGTGGTAACAAGTCTTGGTTCGGAAAGCAGTGAGTCTCTTACAGCATTGTCAAAATTGTGAACCATGGGGAAGAAGGAAAACGGAGCAGGAATTGAAATGATTGATGTGCACAAAGCAAATGTATTATCATTATTCCAGACCACAGTCATATCTCTTTGCACTCAATCAACAAAGGTTATCCCCTTGTCTACTCAGTCTACCAAGACATGCTGCTTACCCGGTGGTGATAACTCAGCAAGTGACCCCATCATTTGTTTGCTAAACAGGCTGGCCCCTTCTGCATTCCGTTTGTCACCGCCTACACACTTCTTGGCTTTTTCTTTTTGGGCTAATGCATGCGTGTTCCCGCATCACCACAAGAAATATGAGCCTGCCACAGCTTGTTCAAGTATTTCACCAGCCCTCCCCCGACACAAACTTCGACCTTCCAACATCCACGCTTTCCTCTTGGGTTTCCTCTTGGCTTCTGTCAAACTTCACCACACCACATCCTCCCGCCGACCATGGATCGACTTCCGCAGGAGATCGTCGACGACATCATCAGTCACCGTTTCATAGACGAGATCATCCACCCGTACAGACCCAAGCTCCGGCTTATTTCCCGGTTTGCAACGGTCTCCCGCAGATTCCAGTATGCCATCGAGCGCCTGCTTTTCCGTACCATCGAGATCAGCAACCTCAATAACGACATCCAAATGTTCGAGTCTCTTTTCTCCACCAGTCCCTACCGCCGCGACTTCATCAAGCGTGTGACGTTGCGCATTCAGCTGGATAAATACCTCCAGCGTATCATCCGAATTTATTACAAAGCGCTCGATATGGACCAAGCAGGCAGTGAAGCGTTCAGAGCGGTCTCTGAGACGCTGCTGATCCTCTCGGCTTGGACGGATCGCCAGGCCATCCGCTTGACCATCTGCTGCCAGACATGGGGAAAGGTCGTGCATGGGGAAAGGTCGTGCCGGGAGGCATACCCGTCAAGGGCCAACATCGCTGTCAAGAATTCACGGTCATCGAGCTGCCGGATCTTGATACGCTGCCAGCGGCGCCGTGCATCCGGTCCCTCGAGATAACCTGCATTGATGCCTCTCCACAGGTACACCCTTTCAGCGTCGTCACCATCGCCAAGGCGTGCCCGAAGCTTGATGACCTCATTCTCGCCCACGCCGACCCGTACAGCTATCACGAGCTTGAGTTCCTCGACGAATGGGAGCACCCAGACTCCGAGATCGCTTTCCAGCTTCCGACCCACAACTTTGCCAAGGTCTACATCGACCCCCCGGTCTGCTTCTGGCTCGCGCAGCTGATGGACTTCGTGACCGCCAGATACCACGCAAGCTTCTGCGTCACAATGCACAATGTGCTCAACAACTTCGCGAGGCTGGACTACCGCGGCATCCTGGAGCCGTCCTTCTTCTGGCCTTACGGTCCCTCGGAGCAGCCTGCACCTTTCTGGCAGGGCATGACGTACATGTGCCTGCAGTTCGAGCCAGTCAAAATCTCCGGAGAGTGGTACTTCAAGACCGGCCGCCAGATAGGCCAGTGCCCCGTGCAGTTTTGGCGGACTCTGGAAGAAGACGTCATGATGCCCCTCATCGAGACGATGTGCAAGGCCTTGGATCAGATGCCCAGTCTGAAGACATTTCAGATGTCCTGCGAAGTAATCCAGATGAGTCGCGGCGGTTATTGGCGGCTTTCGTACGCGGCGCCTGGCGTTCCGTCCAACTTCGACAAGCATGTCGAGATCCCGCCGAACATGGCTCGCGTGTCCGGCGGCAGTGGGGGCGCGGTTGGCGGCGATGCCGACCTTGGAAGTGGCCATGATGATGGTTTTAAGAGCAGTGGCGATGGTGCTGAAGCGAGCAAGTCGTCTCAAGGCACCGACGACAGCTCCCTGGATCAGGTTCGTTCGTTTCGGAGATGGTTGCTTGATGCTGGAGACTGGAAGCCCTCCGCTGAGATTTTGGAGGCTCTGCAACGGGTGGGAAGAGGAATTCATGGTCAGGATGCTTTGATCTCGTTCGTCCCTTTCGGCATGTTCTGGTAAATGAGAAGGAGCAGTGTTGTTGGTCACCCGAAATTCGGCTCTAAGCCCGAAGTTCATACGTGTACACTTAAGTTAGTCGACAATGAATCCGCAATCATAACTGTTATGTCAGATCGCTGTCTGATTTCCGGGCAATTTGGATGTCCGGAAGAAGAATTTTGCTATGCGGGCAGTGTGCCAGTGTCCCCCTTAACTTTGATCCTTGAAGGCCTAATACCTCCATGAACTCCATGAGGACGATGACAGTAGAGACAATAATAGACGACGACGACGACAACCGACGATAACAGAGCTAACGACGACGGCAAAAAAAAAATTTAGAAAGAAATTTAAAAAATTTGGCAACGACAATAGCGGCGATGAAAGTGATTACATGGGACCTTTAATGGCTTTAAAGTAATATACATCCATTCGGGGTTCTCAGGACGATGTACGGATTACACGTATACAGACTTCCCGGATAGCTAACTGAACCAACCACCTTTCGTTTGAATCGTCATTCCTGCTGTCCTTGTCGCCTTTTTCAGAACCACAGAAATGGCCTCTTCTCCGCCTTAGAAAGAACACGTAAACCACAATCTTCTAAAGCTTTTCTCACCAGCTCTACGCCACCGGTTCCCTCTACTGCCACTTCTCGCAACTTGGGGTAGCGACCGGACTTGTGATCTACCGCAAGAGCCTCGAAGTCCTCTATCAGAGAATATTCCTCATTTACCGATTCATAGATTGAGGGAAAAACGGAGCCGCTGAAATGAAGCCGCTCCACTGACTCTGGAAGCGTCGACATGAATTCATTGCAGCGGCTTGTCCAATCGTGACGTCCCGGGTTAAGCGGGCGTGTGACCGGTCCTGGCTTTTCCTGGATAGACCTAAGAATGCTCCAATTGTCGATCCAAACATTCCGTATGTTGTTGAAGTTGCGCAGCGAGAACGGGTCGCCATCTCCAATATACGCCTCTTTTGAACATCCTGGGGGAACGAACTTGAGACAAAGCGTTTCCAGAGCCGGGCAATGCTCCTCTAACTCGGTAATAACATCAGAGGCGAAGACATGCCCTTCCCAGATGTCCATGGCGAAACTCCTTAGGCCGCGGGCATTTTTCAAGAGCTTTTTTACGTCGTCGACGCTGGCAGCGACGTTGTTTAGTGTAATGGCAGTCACATGCTGGGTCGCAAGGTCGTGGGTGAGCGATATCCAGAAATTCTCGATGAAAATGTCCGAGACTTCCGCGCCGAGGTTTAGAATTTTGGTCAGATGCGACGACTCCAGCTCGCAAAGATACGGATCCTCAAGGCGTCCTAAACTTGAGCTGACGAGGATGGATTCGAGGAATGGAAGTAGGGGTCCACCGTCGCTTCTCTTCAAGTCGCAAACCCGGGCAAGATCCTGCGTGTTCCCTCTCAACCCCAACTCTGTGATATTGGGATGCCGAGCGAGTACGAGGCTAGCTTGGACAGAAACGTTGCTCTCCGCATCTTCAGGGAGCGGCAAGGTAATTCCAGCCAAGTCCGCCGCCCTGCTGGCCTGATAACGTCTCTCTTGGGCCGTCGACGGAGGAGAGCGCTCCCCAATACCGCGGTCCATACCAACATAACACCGCTTGACCAGTTTGTCCACCCTCACCTTCTTGTTCGTGCGACCTAATACGTCGAGAGGCTGTTCCGGTGCGCAAAAATGGCCGCATACAAGTGCAGGTGGCGCACGGAGTAACAGGTAGAGTATTGGGGTTCCGTTCAGTAACGGTCAACAGACGCTTTTGACGCTGCGTCTCTGATAATATGATCCCTGCAATTGACCAAGTGGCCAGACGGTGCTTCCACGGATGCGCATCAAACTTGGACATCACCAAGTACGAGCAGATGTGCTCGAGAATCTCGGGTGGCATATCATTGATGGAGACCATTTTTCTAGGCTGAAGGGGTGCCGCTGATAACGCAATTAGCATATGGAGTTGTTTTGAACTCGAACAGAGTACTTACACATAGCGAGAATAACAGCGATAAAGTGGCGACGGAGAAAATCACGTAGATGATAAATGATGTGGTTACTCCTGCTTGAAGATACAATAACGCGATGTAATGTTTGAAAACTAGACAAAGGTGGATGTGACAGATAGGGTCAAGATCTCAGTCTTAAGTAGGTACTTCAGGTGTAGTGGACATCTATGAGTTTGTGAATGACTTTTCCAGATGAACCTTGCGAAGTACACCACCCGGGTGAAAATTTCTAGCAAGATTACTGAGGACTCACCCGATGACCTATTTTCCTGTAATGGTCCTACTTAGTGTGGTGGTTGGATTTATGTTGCCCACCTGGTTGAATCTGGAGTCGCTTTCATTATTGTCATTTGCCCGGAATTTTGGGCAAAGCTCCGTCGACCTGGGAAGACTACCCGCTCACTAAGAGCTTTTACAATAGCATGAGATTCCATCAGGACAGAAAAGGAACTGTAATTTTGTGCTTGTGACTGGACCGACATTGAGGGTTATATGGTAAGGAGGGCCCCCATCCTGAGGAATAGAAGTATCATATCGCGACCAAGCACGAAATGAAGCACTTGTAGCGCCCGCTGACAGTGCGGCTAATTTTGGCTATAAGTAGTGAAAATCATCGCCCAAGTCTCGTATTTGTTTGTACTTTCCTCATGCTTGAACTGGAGTTATGAGGGGAGGATGGTACGATTGGGGGGCGTGCCTGCCTCAAGTGGGAATAACGTTCTTGTTTCTCACCTACTTCACCACCTTCGCCCTTTCACCTTCGACCTTCTACCCACACAACTTGAAAACTCTGATCACCCTCTCTATTTACTTCCAACCGTCGAGTATTTCTGATACCTCGCACTGAGCTTCCCAACCACAACACCATCGTCCGTCGCCGTCGCAGTTGCCGTCTTTGGTAACTCTGCGCGCCGACGTCAACAACCAGATTCACGATGAATAGACTTCCTCAAGAAATCATCGACCACGTCGCCTGGTGGCTGCCGCTCCCTGAAGAAATCCACTGCCGCAATGGGATGCCCTCGTCGCCAATCCGACCCAGTATCGCCAGCGTGTCGGAGAGATTTCGGCACGCCGTCGAGAGGCTCACCTTCCACGAGCTTCACATCAAGACTTCTGAGCTCAACAAGTTCGACGAGATATTGTCAGGTGCCGGCTCTTACCGCCGACGATTCCTCACACGCCTCAATGTCGTCGTCGTCCTTCCCGAGTACGGTGACCACAAGGTCCCCACATACGAGTTCGCTGTCGACAGATACGCGAACAATTATGCTGCGACTAGAGGCATGCATCAACTTCTCTACGTCCTCTCCGGCTGGGAGTCGGACCTTCGCCTTGAGTTGACCCTCGAGGCCCAATCCCCCTCGGACTCAGGAGCTCTCACCAGCAAGCAATGTTATCAGCGATGGAAGGAAATCGAACAAGGAACACGTCACGGCTTGGGCCACGAAAGATACGAGTACTCAATGACTGAGATTTTTGATGTCGACAAGATGCCGTTTGTTCCTTGTGTTCGCACAATCCATTTCCACGGACAACGTCAATGTCGCCAGTTCTCACCAAAAGCTGCTCTCGCACTGGCTACACGATTCCTACAGGTGCAGACCGTTCGGACGGAGTGGTGTGAGCCATTTTGGTTCCCGGATCTGCTGCAGGCGATGCGGTGCCAGCTGACGGACTCGCTCAACTCAACTCACTTCCCGCCGACTTTGAGTGAATTGGTGCTCCAACTTTACCCGCCCGTTCGTATCAGCGGCAATCTGACCAAATCACGGAATCCACAGCCCAATCGGCTCTGCAGGGTACTACACCAGGCCGTCAATCATGTTGCCAACCTCAAGCTTCATGGCGAAGTTGACCCGTCATTGTTCTGGCCATACCAGCCATCGGAGAAGCCGCAACCATTTTGGCAGTCAATGAAGAAACTAGAGATCACGATGGAGCAAGACTCGACGTCGACCGAGTGGTATCAGAGAACCAACTTCAACAAGTGGTCTCAAAAGATCATCGCTCGCTACGGCAACGACTACGACATCGACTTTCCCGTCAACCATGCTGGGCTTCCCGCTCCTGGACACGGCTCTGTCAGCGAGGCAAAACGCGCGCATCGTTATATCAACACTGTATTACAGCACGAAAGGACACTCTACGACCTCACATATCGTACCCTGGTGGATGGAGGCTTTAAAGATGACGATGATGACGATGGCAGCGATCACGACAACTTCGAGAACAGCAACGATGCTGACGAGAGCAAATATGAACACGATGACTCCAGAGAGGACGAGATGCTTGAGTTCTGCGAAGCTAACGAGCCTGCAATGGCCCGTCTTTTGGATGCGATGATGAAAGCGATGCTACAGATGCGTTGCCTCGAGTTTGTGAGACTGGAGGGCTGTCTCGGTGGCATGTGGTGCTTTGAGTTTTACGCCCCTGGCGTGCCTAGCAAGTACGATGCAAAGTCTGAGGCAACACCCTCTTATGCAAGATTCATTCTCCCCAAGCGCCACTTCTGGATTCCAGGCGAAGAAATTCTGAACGGATTCCGCAACATGGCGACGGAGAAGTATGGTCAACAACCAGCCATTGTCTGGGTTACACACATACGGCGTAATTAGGGAATTGAGGATGGTGTGAACAACATGAACGATGTGAACGACACAGACTCAATGGACAACGGACGGGAAAGATCATTTGCTTAATGGAGGACGGCGTGAATGCCAGAGGTAGCGGAAATGGGATCGACTAAGACATTGTGAACATTGGGCATCACAGGTCATTGCTTTCGTGAATAACGAATGGGCTGCGCAAAACCATAGTTTTCTTTCAGCTTCTGATTCTGCACAGACTGGATCAGAATCATGTATTTTAGAAACAAGTAAATTGAGGTTTCTCTTAGTCAGGCCTGATATGATCAGTTGAACAACAACTATTTCGGGTAATCGGGTGACAATTTTGCCCACTCATGACAAGTCCTCATCTACGAGTACCATTTATCATGCCCGCGACTCTGGGCATTGAAACACAATCACAAACATACATATGACGGGCTCTGAAGGCCTTGACCTGACATGGTCTAAGTTGCCACCTGCTTGGTTTCGCCGATTCGGCGATAGGAGACAACTGCTGAGAGGACTTATCCTCACTCCGCAGATGACTTGACAGGGTGTCTACGCAGTACATGTACGCCGACCCCCGATCTGCCGAGGCAAGCCATGACTTGAATGTTCGGGGTTGGTGGCCATCTTCGGCTCTCCAAGACCCCTAGAAAACGACAGGTGACTCCCAATATTGCCCCTCAACTCGCGATGTCAAATCCAGATCTCCGAATGCCAAGGGTCCAACGTCCAGCTGCTACATCGTCTCGCGGCCGTTCTGCCATACGGCCGTTAGATTCGGATCGGCGCCTCTTCAGCCACCGTCAGTTGCTAGGACGACTCTGTTGGCTTAGAGTCCAAAGTCTCCAGCCCCTCCGACTAATGTTCCCCGGTTTTCCCTTGGACAATTGAGTCAGCTGCTGGAACGTCCCCAGCTTTTCGGCGAGCTTAAACAGTGGGAGTGGTTTCATTGATTGGAATGCACACTTTCCCCTCAGCTCCCTCTGCGCTTCTTTTCTTTTTTCCTTCTTCGTCTTCTTCCAAGTTTATTCTAACTTAACAGCTGCCGCGAAGTTGGTCGGCATGATCCGAGACCTGATTCAATCGATGACATGCACTGAGACAGAAGACGTGCATCTAGGCCATGCCAAGCCTGGTTAGCACATCGCGACATGACCACCTGCCCCAAATCGCCGGTCATCCACTAGTCTCCCTCATCGTCTTCCCGTGCCCTTTGATTGCCTTTGTCTCTGGCCGTTTGAAGGCTGAGTGTCATCTGACTCGGGCCGTCCCAACGGCCATGATCGCCGCCCTTATTGACGCCTCTCGCGCGAAAGCCGCCGACACGGATGTTTAATCTCTTATAGGTTCGATAGACCAAGATATTCACACAACGTCCTGTATTTTTTTCCCGATTCGGCAGCTGTGTTTGGGAAAGTTGAGATGACTCTCCCGGCGAGCATGGGCAGGTCGGCCTGCAGAAGCTCTGACGTGCCGACCACAAGGGGGGGAAAAGGATGTTGACTTGTTACCCCCACATCATTCCCGGTCGGCGCTGTGCCGTCTGCACGTCTGCTGTGCTTCCTCTCACTCGCTGCTCCTCTGTGCCGGGTGCCACTACTGCACGATTGGATGACCGCCGAGCCGCCGGCACCTCTGCTTGAAGAGAGGTGGCAACGCATGCCCCGAGCTTGTGGGACACTTCGGATGGAAAACCACTCGCAGCTCCCAGCTTTTCCGTGAGAGGCTCTTTTTAATGATGCCGGGCAGGAACTCTCTGGGTTGTGCCCCATCGTGTTGCCGCAACTGATACCGGCAAGACGGTTGTCTGCTCCACAAGCTGCTATTCCTGACACTTGGCTTCCCCCCTGTCTGCGATGGCTTCCACTCTTTCTCCCTCGCGTCTCCCTGTCTGGGGCCTGTCGCCGCCGCGATGCAATAACCACAGAGTTTCCTGAACCCCCAAGCCTGCCGCAAGGGGCAAACTTCTTCATTGTCTACCTTACCTACATTGGCGGCGGGCTATCCAACTTGCTGCGGGCTTGCATGTATGCCGCACAACGCTAAATCTTACCCCAACCTCTGTCCTCGGCACGTTGCCCACGGTGTTTGCTATTTGCTCAGCTACGAGGAGGGGAGAAGCAAACCCCGAGTTATCGCATGATCTCAACCCACAGCGCGCCGTCGATGGAACTACGCAGACGCTGGGTGGCTCCGCTGGCTAGTCTCTCCCGCCCTTTCGCCGTCGCCGGCGCGGATAACCCGAATAACACTCCTTCCAACGCCGCCGTAGATCAGCCCTCCCGATGCCCTTGTGGCGGCTGTAGGGGTTCTTGATGGGCGGTTCGGAGTTCCATATTGCGACCCCTGACACATCAACGCCAGTCTAGACGCCGCCAATTGTTCTTTCTTCCACGTCAGAAAAGTCAACCTAGACAACCTAGACTCACTTGCCTTCGTCAAAACTCTACCTCTCCCTTCCATGCCCTTAATATTCTAGCCTCTTGCTGCAGTGCGACCTAGGCGATGCGACTAGTCGGTAGTCGCTTACTATTCTACGAGGGAGCTTGCGTTGGTGGCTTGCAACGCGCCGGCCGCCTTAGACCGAGGGAAACTAGTACGCCGAACGAAAGACGACGATCCAAGATCAGGGAAGAAGCAGCATTAGTACAAAATGGCCACGATCAGCACGATATTACGGAACCCTCTTGGGCTATCTCCGTCGCCATCGCCTCGGAACCAGAGATTCTTCCATCAACGAGAACAACAGCACCAGCACGAGGACCAAGCGGAGCCTAGGACTTCGAAATCCAGCATCATGGGACGCGCTTCTTTGGCGAACTTGTTAATCTTTGGGTTCCTGGCAATCGTTGCCAAGGCCGTCTACACGACCAAGCTCGTGCCGTACGAGGAGAATGGCAAGAGTTACCAGTGCAAATGCTCGCCGGCGGACGACTGCTGGCCCAAGGCTAACTTGTGGGATGCCCTCAACATCACCGTCGGGGGCAACCTCATCAAGAACGTGCCGCCCGCCGCTGTCTGCTACAACCAGTACCGCGGTGTTTCAACATTCGACGCAGGCAAATGCGCTGAGGCCACGGTTAAATGGACTGATGAAAGATGGCAGTAAGTTGCTCTTTTTCCTATGTTCACATGTTCGTGGAGCGAGAAATTGGTCGTGGTGTTGACCGTGACCTACCAGGATCTCCCAGCCAGCATCGCAACTCTGGACCTGGGGCAGCAACAACACCTGCGAACTCACGACAGATCCCACCAAGACGTGCACTCTGGGCAACTACCCCGAGTATGTAATCATCGCCAGGAACAAAATGCACATCAAGGCCGGCGTCGACTTTGCGAGAACCAAGAACTTGCGCCTTGTGATCCGCAACACGGGCCACGACTTCGAGGGCCGGAGCGCGGGCGCCGGCTCGCTGGCCATCAACACCCACAACTTCAAGGACATCTCCTTCGTCAACAACTACGCGGGTCCTGGTAACTACAAGGGGCCTGCTATGACCATCGGTGCCGGCGTGCAGGGCTACGAGATCTCTGATGCGGCGCATGCGCGGAATCCGCCTCAGAATGTGGTTACGGGCGAATGTGAGGTACGTTGTCTTTGGTCAAAAGATGGCATCTTTTCTTTCATAATAAGTTGACTGACCTGAACAGACTGTTGGTGTTGCTGGCGGCTTCATGGGCGGTGGTGGCCACGGCCCTCTGAGTGGTCTCTACGGATTCGGCGCCGACAACGCCCTCTCATTTGAAGTTCTCACGGCGGCTGGAGATTTCATCACTGCAAACCAGAACAGCAACTCTGACCTCTACTACGCTCTCAAGGGCGGTGGTCCCGGAAACTATGCCGTTGTCTTGTCAGTCACATTGAAGACTTACCCCGATACCACGCGCGGAGCCGCTCTCTTCCTCAATGTCAATGCAACCACCGGAGCCAACTTCACCCAAGTCACAAAGGCAGTGAACAAGCTCCACGAACTCGGCAACCAGATGGTCGACCAGGGCCTCTACGCCATATACGAATTGTATCCTCCCGTCATCGGAGGCGCCCTGCACATCCAGCCGATTATGGGCATGAACAAGACCGCTGCGCAGCTCACCGCTATAATGCAGCCCCTTTTCTCCTACCTCAACTCCGAAGGTATCCCGTACGACACCGGCGTCAAGGAATACCCCAACTACTACACCCTTTTCCACGACTTCTTCGAGCCCGAGGCCGCCGCTCAGAACGGTCTCACCGGAGGCTGGGTCTTCACCCACCAAGATATGCAGCAGAGCAACCAGGGTGCTGTTGCAGATGCCATCCAACTTGCCCTGGCACCCGCATCAGACAAGTTCGGCATCGTCATTAGCCATCTATTCGATCCGGGAATGACAGTGAAGACGCCTCAAAGCGCGACGCACCCAAAGTGGAGGGGCGCAACTATGCGAACAATGGCTATTCTGCCCCAGGCCCTGGACGCGACATGGGCTCAGAAGCTGGCCCTGAACGACTTGATGGTGAACACAATCACCGAGAAGTTTAAGCAAGCAGCCCCCAACGGCTTGGCCTACGTGAACGAGGTAAGATTCCCTGCTCTTGACTCGCGTCCGCGGTTGAATACGAAAGCTGACTCCGTCGACGCAGAATTATGCATTCATGAAGAACTGGCAAGACGCCTTCTGGGGACCCATCTACCCTACGCTGGCTGCGACTAAGAAGAAGTGGGACCCGAACGGTGTCTTCTTCTCCTGGTCTACCCCGGGCAGCGAGGACTGGACTGTCGTTGACTACCTGAACAGGTTGTGCAAGAAGAAGTAATTGTGTGTGTTTGTATGGCTAGCAAGCGTGCTATGTTGTTATGATGAGAGTTCAGAGATACCACCGCACTATGCTGGTTTAAGGCAGCATAGATTCTTAGATCTGACAATGATAATCAGACACGAGAGGCAGAATTCGCTCATGGGCAACTAAATTGTCAAGTCCGAAAACACTTGGCATTCGTCTCTCTTAACATGCGACTTCTAATTGCAGGGTGTTGTGACAACTATGGCTCTTAAGCCGGGTATCCGAGCTACTCGCATCTGGCATACAAATACTCGCACATACGACCAGACCTTACTCGTTCCAAATGACGGCGCTCAGGCCATCTTCCTGGTTCACCGTACCCGGGTTGCCAACCTTAATCGTCGCGAGCAGTTGCCCCAGCTTGCCCGTGGTGCTGTTTCTCTCCACGACAGCGACGTTGGCACTTGTCTGTCCGCCAATTGCGACCAAATTTCCCGCTTTGTTGATTGAGAATGTGCGGGGGAAGTACGAAAACGCGCTCGTGGCCTCAAGGAACGTCACTTCGCTGGTGGAAGGGTTGATTGAAAAGGTTGCCATGGAGTCTTCCTGGCTGCCGTAGGAACGGTCGCATCTATTGGATGCATAGACAAAATTGTCCTTAACATGCACTTCGGCAGCCTTGGATCCCACCGGCGCAACTTTCCCGGGAGGAAACGTCGAGAGGGTTTGTTTTCTCGACAGCGTCAAACATCCGGAGTCAGGGTACGCCACAGACCAGGACGTGACCGAGTTCGATAGCTCGTTGACGGTGAATAAGACTGAGCTATTGGCCTGGGTCCAGAACGCGCCGTGACGCGGCCCATCCCCGGCACCAGCCTGCGCAGACGGACACTCTTTCAGAGTACCATTACTATTGATGGCGAAGATGCGAATGAGATCGGCGCCCAGGTCGGCGGAAAGTAGATATTTGCCGGTCGGGTCGGTAAACACCGAATGGGGATGCGGCTTGTCTTGCCGAGACGGCACAGTGCCGGGCTGGGTCATCGCGAATGTCAACGACTGCAGCGCCTGATTTGTGCTGCCCACCGGCAGAGCATAAGTAGAGATGGCTGATGCATCACTTGAAAAGTGTTATTTCAGGTTAGCAAAAGCATAAGATTCGTTGTGGACGAGTAAGCTTACTACCGCGCCACCGCGACGAATCCTCCTCCTGCACCAACTCCGTAGATGATGCTGTGAAGCTCGCCGCCGGCCGTCTGGACCTGGCCCTTCGGAGTTACTGTGCCATCATCACCGACGGAGTAGCTTTTGAGCAGCGGTTGGCCGAACTGAGTTTCGTCTGGAACGTAGAGCGTCTTTGTGGCAGAGTCAAGGTCGAGCCACGCCGGCATGCGGTTGCCCGAGCTGATGGACTTGACGATTGAGAGCTGGTTCGCGGACGACAGCTCGAGGGTGTAGATCTGGCCGCTGTAGTGGGATGCGAGCAAGGTGGCTGCCTCGCCGGAGGAGAAGGCCGCACACAGCGCCGAGAGGATGCGGATCTTCATTATGGAGGAGATGGACCCGGTTTCCTCAGGCGTTTGAAAAATGGTCAGACCAGAAGAATTTTATCAGATGGTCCGATTATATGCCTTGTGACCAGGCAGTACCCAAACGTTCCCTCCGGGCCATGCTGACAGCTTTCTTCTTCACTGTGGGACTTTGCGTGATCAGTGATCAATCTCAAACATGGTGTTTTCAGCCCTTAATTCAGGAGAACCGTGGTCTGGGCTAGTGCATCTTCCGCGTTCCCCGAAAGAGTAATTATACGGAACCAGGCGCAGTATGGGGAATGGTAAGGTGCCGTTCCGTGAAACCGGTTCGCGGCTAATTGCAGATCTCGGTGGATTGCAGGTCTCGGCAATATTGAGGCGGCTAGTTTATTCCGAGTACATGGTCATCTCTGTGGTCAGTTGTGTGACATTCCAGACCTTTCCGTTGGCGAAGAGAGAGATTCAATGCCACCTCGCGGACACCATTAATATTGCTGATCTACCTGGCTTTCTTAGAACTGGTGGTTGAAGTACTTTTTGCAGGCTTGTTTGCCGGTATTTATCCCATCTCCCTTTCGTCCATACTTCCTTTTCCATGGTTCAGCTTTCTGCAAGGAAATCAGCCTGATGAAGATTCTGCTTGAATGGCGATGATCATTTATGAAATCAACGAAGATCGCCTTGGCTGGCAATCATCATCAGGAGATTGTATCAGCCCAACTTCGCATTCTCGTCGTTGTTGTTTACCATTTGATACCCAGTGGTTCGATATGTTGTTCACAAGGCCCCAGAAACCGTTGACAACTAGCCTCCGTCGCCCAATTCGGACGCGAAAATTCTAGTCTGGACTGGACTCCCAAGTCAACAAAAATGGACCTTCGTGTGATGGAAAGCCAAGCCTTGTAATACGTCAATTCATTTCACTGCATGAAGAATCTTCCCCTACGTAATGACAGGTACGTTTTGCCCCTTCGATTGCGGCGCTAGATTTCACTTTGTTGGACAGCGATTTATAAGGCCATGACAACTTCTCACGATCTGGAGTTGCGCGGTACCCAAGAGTAACACAACGGCGCCATGGTCTCAACAATGCTTCTCAGTCTGTTGACTGCCGCGCCACTCATCACCGCATCACCGTTGAACAAGAAGGCAGTAATTGACGATTGCCTGTCCGCAGCCAGCGTCCCATACAACGAGAAAGGCAGCTCTGAGTGGGAAGCAGATGGATCTCCGTTCAACGTCAGGATACCATACGTCCCGGTTTCCATCGCCGTCCCCCTCACTACAGAACACATCCAAGCCGCGATCAAGTGCGGTCGAGACAATGGTGTCAAAGTGACACCAAAATGCGGTGGCCACAGCTATGCCAACTTCGGCTTCGGTGGTGAAGATGGCCATCTCATGTTAGAGCTCGACCACATGTACAACGTCACCCTTAACAACGCCACCGGTATTGCGACGGTCCAGGCTGGATCCCGTCTTGGGCACGTCGCGAGCGAGCTGTACAAGCAGGGCGGCAAGGCGATCAGCCATGGAACATGTCCAGGGTAAGTGCTTATCGCCCTTGTCATCAGGTTCTCAACTGACACGACAACAGAGTCGGCAGTGCAGGCCATGTTCTCCACGGTGGGTACGGAATGAGCTCTCATACCAAGGGCCTTGCCCTCGACTGGCTCGTCGGAGCGAAAGTCGTTTTGGCCAACAGCACCGTTGTTATCGCTTCCGAAACTGAAAATGCGGACCTTTTCTGGGCGCTCAAGGGAGCCGGCAGCTCCCTCGGAGTTGCAACCGAGTTCTACTTCAAGACCTTCGATGCGCCCCAGCAAGCCACAAACTTCCTTGCCGTTCTGCAGTGGGATGCTCAAAAGTCTATCGATGGGTTTAAGGTGCTGCAGGATTGGGCGGAAGAAGACATGCCGAGGGAGCTCAACATGCGGCTTTTCATCACTCCACGTTTTACCAACCTGGAAGGGATGTTCTACGGAAACAAGACTGGGTTGCAGGCTATCCTAGACCCGTTGCTTACAAAATCGGGAGGCAAGTTGACGACATCTCAGACCACTGATTGGGTCGGAAACTTGCAACACTTCGGAAACGGCCTAGCACTTGATCAGAAAGACACATACAAGAAGGCCAGTTATTTTTCTAGGTCTCACGCATTGCCGTTTTACTAACTCATAGCAGCAAGAGAACTTTTATTCTAGCAGTCTGTATACAGACAAACTCTCCGACGCCCAGATTGAGTCTTTCGTCAACTACTGGTATGGCGCCGGCAAAGCCTTGAAGCGAGATTGGTGGGTGCAAGTCGACCTTCATGGAGGCAAGAACTCGGCAATCACCGCCATTCCCGCCAACTCTTCTGCGTACGCTCATCGCAATAAGTTGCTGCTGTATCAGTTCTATGACAGAGTCGATTTGTCGGCGACATACCCGGAAGATGGTTTCTCATTTCTTCAGGGCTTTAGAGCGAACACCACTCTTGGCATGGAGCCGGAGGAACAGGGTATGTACTTTAACTATCCTGATCCAAACATGAGACAGGATGAGGCGCAAACGAAGTACTGGGGCGACAACTTGGCCAGATTGCAGGCGATTAAAGCTGCTTTTGATCCGACCGAAGTCTTCTACTTTCCACAGAGCGTGCGACCGGCAACTCCTGTTGAGCACTGACTCTGTCAAAACAACAATTCCTTGACAACTGGGGGCTCTCAGTCTTAAGGTCTAGCAGCGCATGATCGAATTGAAATGACTGCTAGACGAATGTCCGTCATTCTCCCACTTCCCGCTTGAAATGTCGCCATTTCGTGATATCAATCTCCATCCTCGTGAGTCGTCATATTGGTTCATCCAATCTTTGACCAACAACATTCCCAAAAAAGCGCACACTGACTCGGCCCCCAACTCCGCCTGGCTGGTCGCAAAAGCCGCAGTGGCTGGGGCACTTCATAAACTCTGTATTAAGTCTATTTGCCCAGCCAATCATCGCCAGCCAGGGCCTGCGTTTCGTCACAACTACCGGGAATGCCCGGGGCCACAATCCATTTTTCGCGATGAAAACGACTCAATGCGGCCTTGTCAACCCCATCCGCATAACATATCCGTGCCATGGTTGCCAATGTGGCTGTCATCGCTACCCACGTGCCGCTTCAGTGGTCGTGAGGGGGGCCAAAACCCCGCAGCTTGTCGACATCAGGAGGGGATCCCGGTCACCTTATTTCCTCAACTGCCTCATTGGGCTGAAGGGTCCTCGGCGTTCCCTTTGGCGATTGTGATGAGGCAGTTCATCAGGGTGACGAGGTCTCTCTCGTCGCCCGCATAAATAGGAGGAGTCGGTACCAACGTGGCGTTTGTGATTGTGTGTGCTCACCACCGGGTCCCTCGTTTTCGAATCTACTAGGTCGCTCTTCGTTGTCGTCATAATGCAGCTCAAGTCCATCTTGGCCCCGCTCCTCCTGGCGGAAGCGGCGATCGCTCAGGGTCTCCCCATCCGCGTCGTCTCTTTCAACATCCGCTACGACGCCGGCTCCCGCGAATCTGGCGAGAAGCCGTGGTGGGATCTCCTCTGCCCTATCTGGAAATCCCGCTGCCGCCAACCGCATGTCATCGACGCCCTCAAGAACGCCGCATCCGCAGCGCCGACCGACGCCGTGACTGTTATCGGCCTGCAGGAGGTCCTCGATAACCAGCTGAACGACATCCAGAGCGGCCTCGGCTCCGGGTGGGCCCACGTCGGCGTCGGCCGAGACGACGGAAAGAAGTCCGGCGAGTACAGCCCAATCTTCTACCGCTCCGACGCCTTGAAGCTGGTCTACAGCGAGGTGAAGTGGCTGTCCCCCACCCCGGACCAGGTCTCGTACGGATGGGGTGCCGGAAGCCGACGCATCGTCACTATTGCCGTCTTTGAGCACATCGCGACCGGGAAGAAGTTCATTCATGCCAACACCCACCTGGACAATGTCAGCAGCGAAGCCCGTTCCGAGGGTATCAAGGTTGTTGTGTCCAAGATCCAGGCTGTTCAGACAACTTACGGACCCCTTGGTGTTTCTCTGACCGGCGATTTCAACTCCGACCCTAACGGCGATGCTTACAAGACCCTTTCCGCCACCGGATACATGGAGGAGCTGTACAACATGGCCACCCCGGACCAGCGCGCTGGGACCAACCAGCTCACTTACACGACCTTCGATACCAGCAACCAGGGCAGTCGCATCGACTTCATCTGGCTTGGACCCAAGGACGCGAAGAAGTACTCGGTCCAGAAGTACGAGATTTACGACAACAACGTTGACGGCATGCTCATCAGCGACCACAGGCCCGTGGTTGGTGATGTGACGTTGTTGTCTTAGGCTCGACGCCCAAGTGATACAGATCTGTTGCTATACCCAAATCAATGATATAATGTTTACTGTCTCCAATATTCTCCTTCAGCTTGCTTCACATTTGTTTTGTGATCGCGGGTCGTTGCTGCTATTTGTATGTTCAGTAATCCTCCACTCAGTAGCCGGGAGCATCGAGAAAGGCAACATTTCACCGAGTACGAGATATCTCGGGTTGATGCAGCACCTCGATTAGGAAGCCGAGTATTATGTACCAGTCTTTGCTCCGAAGAACGGCCTATGATAGGTCAACATCGCGAATAAAGTTCAAAGTTGGCTTGGGTTCTGCCACACGCCCACTTTCCGGATCTCGGCAGGCCCATCAGGCATTCAATCGTATCATGGCAACAGGATCTCATTGGGCAATACATGTCCTTCAATCAAACCTAGTGGAATCAAGAGGGGCTTTTGCGATTTATAGTCGAAATAGAGTCATGTTTTCTTCTCAATGTGAATTGCTCGGTGTCAGCACCCCGGCCCCCCACCGGCATTCGGCCCCGTTGAAGGCCGAAAGGGGCCGGAGGGAGGCATTCTTGAATTGGCTGAAAGCCCTGCAAGATGTATAATAGGCTGCAACCTCGGTGATCTGCATGATCGGCCGCTGTTGTTCTAGATTTACCAAACGCTAGATACGATCGCGCCAAAATGATTCAACATCGGGTCCTTGGGCTTCTGCTCGCTTTAGCCAGCAACTTGGTGCTATGTGCCTGCCAGCAAAGCACCTCTTTTCCCAAACAGCTTGCGGCCATCCGTCGTCGGTCTGGTTTGACGCACAAAGAGTATCTCGAGTACCACACTTTGGTCCACGGCCAAAAGTCCTGGAACGCGCCCCACGACAACGCGTGGCCCATCGCGTACACCCAGAACCATGTTTTTGACGGAGTCTTTGGCGCGAACAATACCGTCGCGAACCAGATCTATGTCGGACGCGATGACGTGAACGAACTCTACAGCAGCGCCGCCGACAGCTTTACCTCCCCTCCGCCGACGAACTACACCGAGACCGTGATCGGACCCGACGGCGTCAACTTCAACGACATGCCAACGGCGATGTCGATGCTGGCCACCGAAACCTTCTTGACTGGCCTTCCTGCGGGCGCGAAGCCTGCTGATAACAAGCCGCCTCTGGTAGCTTGGTTCTGGGCGATTGCTACGAAGGAGGCAACTTCCAACGAGACCTTCGCGAACACCCTTGCCGATACGCTCGTAAAAGCTATCCCGGCTGGCACCGTCTATAACGCGAGCGTTCATGTTCCAGTCCCTGGAGGAGATCTCAGACCTTACTTTGGCGGCCAAACAATGCCTACCATCAACGCGGTTATCAAGTTGTGGCTTGGCGAAAGCGACTCTTCAATCTCGGCAGTGCGCACTGCCCAAACGCAACTCGACAATGCCAAGCTTCAGCTTGACGAGAATCAGTCTTTCATGCTTTTCTCAAGAGAGGTTGTTATCTGGGACATGAGGAAGAACATTGAGGTAAGACCCACCATTCAACCAAACTCGAAAATGCACTTGCTGACTTGAAAATAGTTTGATCAAGCTCGTCTTACCGCAACGGTCAAGGCAGAGACCGTTTTGTGAGCTGTAAGAATGGTTGTAATATAGCCGGTTAGTTACAATGATACAAAAAGCTTCATGCCAATGCCTGGTCTAGCGAGATACAATAAACGGTCTCCGAAGAGATCTTGTTCGTGTTATTGAAATTTCGTAATGATGCTCAAAAGTTGGCCTTGAGTTGATGGAGACGAGCGCCAAACGTGAATGGCGCTTCAACAGACCAGATTGTCAGCTGGCACCAGCTGCAAGCCGGGCATCAAGAGACGATGATCTCCGAATTTTCTTTTTCATCCACCGGATGCGGATTTTCTACGCCCGATGCCAGGGAGTTGAACCATGACAAAGACGCGACCATGTTCGCCCCTCTTTATTGAACTTTATTTCACGTCCACTATGAGACATATTCATGAATCGAGTCGTAAGAGCACGCTTGCTCCCTGTCAGCTGAGAAAACATACCGTTTGATATCCCTGTCGCAACCGTGCCGGCACCGATTTACATACACAATGGTTGTCCCTGCGCCACTTCTCAGCTTGTACCAGCAGTACAAGCAGGACACCAATTTTGTTGCTGCATGGCTAGCTACCACAGCCAAGTCATGCGGCTACCCATCCGACCTCCTCTCTGAGATCCAGGCCAAAGAAGAGTCGTCCAAACCAGCCAAGAACAAGGCCAAAGGCGGTAAAGGGAAGAAGAAGAAGAAGCAGACCGATCAAGCTCCGAAGAAGTACACTGTTGCCGTCAAGGAGTTTATTCCTCTTGCCCAGTACATCTCAACAGCGAAACACAAATCCTCCAATGTTCCCGACATTCTCGTCTCCGCTCTCAACAGGGTTATTGACCTCCGCACGAGGTTCAGCGCCAAACTCACCCAAGACGGAGCCAAGCCGGCTACTGCCAGCGACTTGAAGCACAGCTACTTCCTCGGCATCCTCATTCAAGTTCGCAATGTATTGAGGCCGCGCATGACCGCGGCTGGATCGCAAGCTAGTCACAATGGATTGGACAATCTCGCCAACAGATTCGCCGGCTTGTCTCTCTTCGAGCCAAGCCAGAGCTTTCTCGACGCCCCGGACATCGAGCTACCGGCACGTGATGACGGAGCTCTTTATGAGGCAGACATGGGCACATCACCGGAAGATTCAATCTTCTTCTTCCAAATGCTATGGAAGGATCTGCTTGATCTCCGCATGCGCATCAGAGTCTCCTGGCGCCGACACATGCAAGGCCACGACATGGCTGCCGCTGCAGTTTCTGCCAATATTGCATTGGACTTGGCACGCCATGTGATCGATCAGTACATCCCAGCTTTTGAGGGCGTTGAAGGCGGCATTTATGCCGTCATGAAGGAGCACGCCACCCTGATGCACTATCGTGTGAAGGCGAATCCCACTGACCCTTACTTTGGTCTTTTGAAGCCCGGCCAGCCCCAAGAATCTATCAGCGACGACCAAATCATGTACGGAGCTGGCTTGTGGAGCTTCGCGAATGCTTACAACATGCTGGCTGAACTTCTACCTTCTATCGCACCCCCAGGGCCGCCATTCCCATTCATCCCTAGGGACCCGGCTCACGAGCTCGGAATGGAATACCGCGACTACGCCGAAACATTCGCCATACTGAAGCCCATCTTTGAGGATCTTAGGGTCGTTATTGAATCTGTTCCAAACTGGCCTGTAGAAGACACACTCTTGCGTGGCGTCAGAGAAGCTGTCGAGACTCGCCAGGTGCCTTTCTATCTCGTTTTCGCAACGGCCATTATTTCGGACATGCACAACTTCTTCAGCCAAGGCGAGCACCTCAACGTCGACAACCACATCATTGACAAGTTCATCGAGACAATAGGAGCAGTGCAAGGGATAGTCGCAGATTACTACGCTGCTATCAGAGAGGCGGAGTCGTTGGAGGAGATGGAGCCGTACGATGCACGTATCAGAGAGATGGATCGGGAGATCAAGTGGCTGTTGGACGAGGACCCCGTCTGGCAGGCCAAGATCAAGAAATTCCCCAGGCGCGAGAGGGGGCAGGCCAAAAGGGAGCTGGAGAAACATCGTCTGTTCAAGTACAACGCCATGATGTGCGGTCTGGCACTGTACAGGTATCGCATGATTCTCTACAAGACCGGAATTGCCATCGCCAATGTTTCGCGGTCCATCGTCTGCGCGATTCATCTCTGGGACGCAATAGGCAGTGAGGTAGGCGGTGCGGTGGACTTTCTCGCAGGCGAGTGGGTGGACTCCCGCTTGTTAGGCATGATTACGGAGGATCAGGCGGAAGACTTTTTTCTGGATGGCGAAGGCGCCGACTACAACCCCGGCTATATGAGGAACATTGCCATGCACCTGGGATTCTCAATTCACAACTTCGTCGACGAAGCAAAGACCCAGCCCCGAAGAGCCAGGCTCCTCGATGGCAAGAAGGGCAAGATCACTGAGCGCGTCCCGATGCACTCGGCGTTTTATGACAGATACGTCACCTTCAATGGAAAGACGGGATCGGAGAACTGGACCTTTGAGGACGTGACATCTCTGGTCGAAAGGGCTAGCGGTGCCGGTTTCAAACCCAAGTACCCCGTAGAGCTGATCGTGGAGCTTGCTACGCTTCTTGAAGACGAGCTTCTCCTTGCCAACCTACCGTTCTTGATCCTCCACGCCGAAGCATTCAGAATCCTCAAGCTCGTACGCGACAGGTGCGAGCCGATGCTGGTTCCGATCCTCGGCCCGCTGGCCACACCAATGAAGGCGAAGATCAACGTTCCTCTGGTCACAGTGTGGATCCTACAGGCTCTTGCCGCAATGCTAGAAGGTGCAGACGTGTTGAGAGCTGCGAAAGACGTGTTCAACACGAAGCTTGTCAACGATATAGCGCGTTCGAGCCGTGCCTACAGACGAATCCAAGAACTCGGATTCTTGAAATCTGGTGAGGAGAAGAAGAAGGAGCCGGAATCCCGGCCTAGCGAACCCCAATGGGATCCCGATTTCAAGCGTAAGTTGGAGCAGCCCATGGATCCAAACCGGGCATATGAGAGTTTTGGGCTGCCCATCGACATGTCTCGTTTACAGCAAACTGGCACATACATCGACACTTCTAAGATGAAGGGCGATGCGCTCTCGCAAATGAGCCAAAAAACGAAAGTCGAAAAGATCTATCTATCCGACGATGATGAGCCAATGGAAATCACGCACACCACCTTGAGCTTCAGGTAGTGATAGCCTAGTTTGAGGACAAATGTACGGTCGCAAGGGCAGGATGGCGAGGATGGTGGGACGTGACGGGGTATTTGATCTTTTCCTAGCTCAAAAGTTGAATATGTGATCTCTTCTACTCAAATCTGCCTGGTTGCGATCTCAGATGCACGAACGTAAGATGTAGCTCTTGCATATCACAGGTTACTGCTCATCACATCACAGCATTTTCATGCCTCCTCAAATGTAGTGCCAGTCCCACGGGCCATCTGCTGGCATCCCAACCACGTCAACGCCTGCGGCCTTGAGCTTCTCGGAAATCTCTTTAGTCTCTTCACCAGCAGGCTGGAATGCTACCTGTTTGAGACATTTCCTCCGTCCCCTCGAGCACTCGTCCGCGATGACGTCGAGTAGTGACAAGGCCCCCGCGCTGAAGGTGCTATTCGGGGAGGTTGTGGGAATGAATCGATATAAATGGAATCGCATAAGTGATTCCGGCAAATTTGATGGGAGAATAGCGTACGTGGTAAGCCTCATGGTATTATTCGTGTCGCTAATGTCCGTTGGAAGCGCTCCTGCAGCATGCAGTGCAAGCCGCGGTACACGCCAATCATCGATCCTGAAGTTCTCCAGAATCTTGAAATGGTCCATTGAGAATGGATGTTGCTGACCTATGAATTTTGAAAGAAACTGAGGCCGGGCTCAATAATCACCCAGAGTAAGGAAGAGAGATCTCAAGGTATCCGCGCTCGGCGTGAGGGCGTCGATAACATCAGCCGCGCTGAAGCTGTGGTTTCGGGCGCGACAGAACACGAACTCCTCGAGGCGACACTGACTCAACAAAGGGCGCAGTAATTCCAGCTGTATGGATGCGTCCATGAGTTTGACCGAGGTTAAGTTTTTGAAGGTCGAGACGCTGACACTCTCAATCGGGATACCACAAATTTCCACAGCTTTCAGTCTTTTTCCGAAGTGTGCTATACTGGCAACAATGCAGGATCCCTGTGCCTTGAGCATCCCATACTCACTACACCAGAGCGTGAGGGACTCAAGACAAGGAAGAAAGGATTGGTAGTGCGTCTGAACGTACAGTGCCATAGCAGTCAAGACAACTCCATCGCGTTCAAGCTTAAGCTCCTTGAGATTGTTCAGCTGGCTCAGGAATGCAACTGCAAGCTTATCTGTATGAAGATAGTATGCATTGTGTTGTGATGCTCGGTAGCCTTCGTCCGACAAGACGATCTGGCCAGCCTCCCTCGCCCGTTTCGTAGCAAGACGAAGTCGGCCCATCTCACCGAGTTCTTTGAGTAGTCTCGCATTGTCCCAATCAAATTGAAGGAAGGCATGTTCGACTGATGGGGCGAAAGCAACCGGATCCGCGGCAACACAGTCCAGCAGTGTGGATAGCTGCAGTGCGCTACTTGGGCCAGCGTAATCTGTGACAAGGATATGTCTTCGGAGTTCTGGGGTCGCAACTCTGTGTAGCAACTTGCATGTAGCTGCGAGGTTTGCAACGGCATTCTTCTCCTTGCGTTGGCCGACTTGGGAAGGAAGTCCATGTCTGTTGATTAATCGCTTCCAAGTCGCTCGGCCGAAGCAAATTTGACGACAAATTTCCACAATCAGCTTCTCGGGGAGATCGGTGAGACTTACCATTGTCGAAAGGCTTGATCGTTGGATTCTGGAATGCGCTTGGAAAGTGATAGGTGAATGATGCTCAGTGCAGGGGTGGACAGCACGGAATTTGACTTTAAAGATGGTGAAAACATTTTCAAGGCAGTATCAAGGTCGGCACCTACACTGCCGATTCTAACAGGTGGCTTTAAGCTATTGAGGTATAACCCCTACTTATGGTCGAAGTTCGCCGAGGTATGCTGAGAAGCTTTTGTAAAGAGTCTTGCTATCAGTGCGGATACTTCTAGCTATGCGGGCGGGTGGAAGCCGTAGATGGCGACAGGGATACCGACGACAACGATAATAGGCATACCTAGGGATAGAGAGAGTATATCAACAAGTATAATAGGGACGATGAGGACTATAGTATTAGTTGAATTATTTAAATATAACTGACAACTACGTAGGCTTAACATAAGTACTAGGTAATTAGCTATCTGCCGGATTACCTGAAGTATCCGCCCGGATAACAAAACCCTTTGTAACATTAAGTTTAACTGCCTTAATCGAAGCCGAAGTCACATTTAACACTGAGTAGATGAGGTACCTCAAATAATTGAACTCAAGGCCCTAAAGGTCACTCCAAGAGGTGCATCCACAGCTTGATGCTGGATGCGACGACAGCGTGCTGACCAATTCTCAGGAAAATATAACAAAATCCGTTTCAGTACCTAAAGTGAGGATGGTTGCATTTATTTATAGAGAATGAAGAGCATTAAGACCCCCATGGCGTTGTTGGTATTGCCAGTCGCAGCGTGTAATCACGCTTACCGAGCCTCTCTCGGTGAGCCCCTGGGCGTAGTGAGGAGCTCACTGAAATCAATGCAACGTGCTTGGGCTTGGATTGGCCATGTTATGGTCAACAACAAATGGTTTGATATAACCATCCTGATTAATTTTTCGATCCATAATGCAATTGTTAGTTTCCTCATTTCTTCACGATGCGGATGCTGTCTTGCCAGCACAAGTACAGAGCCAACTGGTCCACGATGCTGTGCCGCCCGCATCTAGCTATCAAGCACACCGAATCCAGGCACCGCTGCTCGGCGACATCCGACTCATGAATTAATATCAATCACCTGCAGCGATTCTAGACAACCAACGTGCTCTGCATTCAAGATAGGCTCGCGTGCCTTCTTGCCCAAGAAGGGTAGCTCATCACCGAGCTGAGCAGCCACAGCGTTGGCATCCGTCTTCTTATCTTTCACCCCAGCTGTCCCTCACTCAACGCGACGCGTTTACGCAAGCTCCATTCCGCCCGCGGTAAATGGCCAATGCCCCTCCAACCAACCCCCGGGGCCGGAACCGCAGCTTCTCGCTGAAATTGAAGAGCTCTCAGCCTTGGCGGAGCGGAGCTCAGCGCCATCAGCAGCTCACCTTCCGTGTTCGGCCTAGGAACCCAACGTTATCAGAGCAAAGTTTGAGGGCACAGCTGGGGAACGACCGCTGAATGGATTAACGTTATTTGTGCTCCCCCGCTGAACCCCACTGGCTGTCAGGGATCGTTACCAGCGGACGGCCGCACCAACTGGGGTGCAGGGCTGGTCCTCCCTCCCGGGTTTCGACGGACAGTTCGTGGGACATTGAATATTGAAGCTTGCATGAAAAGAGAAGGACGGATGAGATTGGTGATGGTAGAGAAAAAGTGCTGCCAAGCCGGTCTGGCACAACCTCACGGCGACGTGGGATCGCCCCCAGCTGTCATGCTCTAGTACCGAGAGACTGTTTCGGTGTGCATGTTGGGCTCATCGTGGACGGGGCGGGTTGTGGACATCAAGCTCCTGCGTACTCCGCTTGTTGATCTGGTTCATCAGGGTGGTTTTTCATGTTGCATGACACGAACCAACCGAAGCCGGTGAGCATGCGGCTGCCCAGCTATCCACATCAGACATGGAATCTTCCAAACATCCAAGACATTCTATCACACCACAACAAGGCATTCCTCGGTCGCCGTTCAGGAACGTGGAACAAGCTTCAGCGAGACCGTGACGATTCGCAGAGTGCAGATTGGCCACTGCCCGTCTCCAAGCCAAGGAGCTTACACCAACAATCGTGCCCCCATCTCCGGCGGACGTAGACGGACGAACCCCAGGAACCCTTTCGCCGTCCCTCCCCCAAGGTCAAAAGAGGCAAAGGAGCCGCTGATAAGCCAATCATCTGAACCACGACCACACGTGTATTGCACCCCTCATCTGCGCTTGAGGCTTGGCAAATGCAACATCGTCACCAAAGAAGCTGTTCTCCCGGCATCATTCAACCTTGCTAACGTCTTGGCTGCGCGCGCCGCCAACGGGCCCGTCCAGCCACTCACCTTTCTCGCGAAAGAGCAGAGCGCAGAGCGCAATTCGCATGCAGGGCCTCGTGGGATTTTCTGCTCGTTGCCCGTGCCACCGTCGCAACCCGCCCACAGTGAAGCTGCAGAGATCGGCGTGTCTCTGAAAGGTCTTGGCAAGAGATTAGAAAATTTCGTATATAATCCCACCGAGGGGGAGCTCGTGACAGTTGATGATAGCTCCCTCTTTCGCGACGTCAGCGTGCCGAAGATCTTCTCTTCCTCCCTCCCCACGTCCTTAACGCGGTGCATCGTCAATCGCAGCATCGTGAAGCCTTCATTGACTTCTACTGCATCTGCTCTCAATCGCGGCTTAAATTGCTCGTAATTCTTTCCCTCCCACCCACTTTCCGGCCTCATCCAAGATGCGCCAATCCATCTCAGCGCTGGCCCTCGCCCTCGCTGGCACCGCGCTCGCGGTCCCCGAGAAGCAGGATGCTGACCACCTCTACTCCTCCCGCCTCTCTAAGCGCGGCATCGACGCCGAGGGCAACTTCAACATGTCCTTCTTCCACGTGAACGACGTCCACGCCCACCTCGACGAGTACTCCTCCTCAGGCACCGACTGCACCCGCCCCGAGCGTGGCTGCTACGGCGGCTACGCCCGCATCAAGCACACCGTCGACGAGCTGCGCCCCCAGTACAACGACTCCCTCTGGCTGAATGCCGGCGACGAGTTTCAGGGAACCCTCTTCTACTCCTTCTACAAGGGCGAGAAGATCGCCGAGACGATCAACCAGCTCGGCTTCGACGCCATGACACTCGGCAACCACGAGTTCGACGGCGGCGACGACGAGCTTGGTGACTTCCTGCAGAACCTCACCTTCCCCATCGTCTCGGCAAACATCGTCTCCGACAACGAGAAGCTCAACAAGACCATTAAGCCCTACCACATCTTTGAGGAGCAGCAGCTGGCTGTCATCGGCGTCACCACGCCCACCACCCCCGGCATCTCCTCCCCCGGCGCGGGCACAAAGTTCCTCGACGTCGTGAGCACCGTCCAGTCCACCATCGACCACATCAAGTCCACCACCAACATCACCCGCATCGCCGCCCTTACCCACATCGGCTACGAAGAGGACCAGAAGCTCGCCGAGCAGACCACCGGCCTGTACCTCATCATGGGCGGCCACTCCCACACCCTCCTCGGCTCCATGGAGGACGCCGAGGGCCCCTACCCGACCATCAAGCAGAACAAGGACGGCGACGACGTCTTCATCGTCACGGCCTACCGCTGGGGCGAGTATGTCGGCTACATTGACGTCACCTACGACGCCGAGGGCAAGGTCCTCGCCTACCACGGCGGGCCCATCCACCTCACCAACACCACCGAGCAGGACCCCGAGCTGCAGGCGCAGATCGAGTCGTGGCGCGGCCCCTTCGAGGCCTTCGCCGCCGAGGTCGTCGGCGTCTCCAACGTCGAGCTCGACCAGACCCTCTGCCAGAAGCAGGAGTGCATCCTCGGCAACGTCATGACGGACGCCATGTACGAGTACCGCCTCAACAACTCCGACTCCGCCAAGCCCGACTTCGCGCTCATCAACGCCGGCGGCATCCGCGCCACCATCGACGAGGGCAACATCACCCGCGGCGAGGTCCTGACCTCCTTCCCCTTCGGCAATTCCATCGTCGAGATCACATACTCTGGTTCCGACCTGCGCAAGGTGCTCGAGGGCGCCGTGACCAAGGTCAACCAGTTCAACAACGAGCCCATCACCTCCTTCTTCCAGGTGTCCAAGAACATTGTCGTCGAGTACAACCCCGCTGGCAACAACGGCTCCAAGCTCGTGTCGGTCGAGATTGGCGGCGAGGCCCTGGATGACGCGAAGGACTACCGTGTTGTCACGCTTGACTTCCTTGCTGGCGGCGGTGACAACATCTTTGTTGCGACGACTGACTTTGTTTCGCTTGATACGCAGGACGAGGTCCTTGTTCAGTACGTCGAGGCCAAGAGCCCCATCGATGCCAAGATCGAGGGCCGTATTGTCCAGAGCAACGGTACTGCGACCTCCCCGTCGAGCACTGCTTCCGGCACCGCGGCGTCTACCGCCACCGGTGAGAGCGGTGCAGCCATGGTTTCCATCAGCATGGCTGCGCTGGCTGTGAGCTTGATTGCTCTGTTGGCGATGTAAATGGTGTCGCGCATGACGACTGTATGCATGTATTAATGAAGTGGATGATGTAGATGTATGAATAAGAAAACATAATAGTACTCTAGCCGTGTTTGCGTGTGTGAGCCCAGTGAGATGTAGCTATGTTGTGAGCTGGAAGGAATGCCAATCACGGGATAGGATCCATGAACTTGGATGTGGTGCACACTAGAGGTAATTATACAAAACCGCCGGACAGGACCCTATCAAGTGAGACTTGAGCACATTCTCATTAGTGATCGTTTATTCAGAACGGAGCACAGTCGGGATGGAACATCGAATTTATGATTACGCAAGATACCGCCCTTTTTAATTCTTGAGTTCACGCAATCAGCACTGCAGCCTGTCCGACTATGCTCGAGACTGAAAATGACTACAGACGACGATGACAACGACGTCGATGCGTCGATGCCAACGACAACAACGATAGACAAGAATGATAACAGGGGACAATGATAGCAGAAAGTGGTAAGGGCAAGCGACACCGCCGGAAGTTAACA